TCATTCGGTCTTACTGTGAACCCCTCTAAAACTCAAGCGATTCTAATTGGCAGTTCTCATTACATTTCTAGAGTTAGTTCTGAGTTGCTACCTTCAGTAATTTTCAACGGATTTGTAATTCCCTATTCAAAAACAGTTAGAAACCTTGGCGTCATCTTCGATCAAAATCTTTCTTGGAAGCCGCAGGTGGAGGCCGTTAGAAAAAAGGTATTTGCCACGTACTATTCACTAAATAGACTACGCAACTTTTTGCCTACTAGAACTAAAGTCTCTTTAGCGTATTCGTTATTATTATCGATCATAGACTACGCTGATGTTTGTTACACGGATCTATCAGAGGAACTTCTTAACAAATTGGAGCGTCTGCAGAATATTTGTATCCGATTCATTTTCAACCTTCGTAAATTTGACCATGTGTCGAATTTTCGTTCCAGATTGTCTTGGCTCCCTATTCGCCGGCGCAGGGACTTACATACTTTAAAGTTACTATATTCTATACTTTTCCTACCTTCCTCTCCACATTATCTCACACAATGTTTCTCTTTTCGTTCTTCTTTGTCACTGAGTTCCTTGCGATCCTCATCCAACCTCACTTTGGACATCCCGCGTCATACTTCCGATTTCTTCTCCTATTCCTTTTCTGTACATGCTGTGCGTTTATGGAATTCTCTCCCGGAGGATGTCAGGAACAGTCGCTCTCTAAATTCTTTCGGCGATCGAGTTGAAAGCTATTTCCTTTCTCTATGCTAATGCTATTTACTTATACTTTCTTATTTAAAATGTATGTAATATATGTGTAAGATATATCTTATCCCTTCTGACTATTGCACCCAATACCCCATATTTTCCCTTTCCTTTTATTATTCTCCTCCATAGGTTGCCTGGAAGAGATCGCTGTTTAGCGATAAAGCCGCCTTTTGTGTACTCTGTATTGTTTACCGTGTAATTTCGTTTTGTTTTCCTGTCTGTATGTGTGCAATAAAGATTATATTATTATTATTATTAAAAAAATGTAAAAAGAATAACTAAAACCGACTAATATAATAGTGTGAATACAAAATTATCAAATATAATAAAATCAGAGCTTATAATAAAATTATCAAATATAATTTAGTTTCTCATAATTAAGATAATAAATATTTTCGAATTTAATAATTTTATTAGAATTAATATCGAAGTGTGCTATTCTTCCGCAGTCTTTTTAGAAAATCGATATTTTTAGATAGGCTAGTTTGTTACGATTTAGAATTAATTTTAACCTTAACAAATACACAATACCTAACAGGAATAACAGAATAGGTTTTTCCAACTGACAATATGTCAGTATTAGATCATTATTGTTTTTATTCCAACACATTTACTTTTTACAGTTAATTAATTTCTATTATTATTTAATCCAGCAATATTGTTGCGATGAACAGTAAGAGGATAGTAACTAATTATTTTACCTGATTCTTGCATCTATACATAATATAAAACAAAATTGCTTCTCGCTGTCTGTACGCTTAGATTTTTAGTAAACATTTAGTAAAGTAAAATAAAATAACCAAGAATGCTCGGCCATCTAGAATATCGATGATTACTCGGTCTCAGATATTCTATTCCTATGTCATTTCAAAATTCACTTTACTTATGCCACGAAACAAGACCAAGTAAGCACCAATTCAAGATTGAGCGGATGCCGTTTTTTATTTGATACTCAAAGGAAACCGATAATAAGTATGTATTTAAACTATTTAAAATTATTCAAAATAAGCATACACATATGTTGCCCAAGCCCGTAACTAAGTAGCTAAACACCTTGTCATATTTAAAAACAATAAAAGAACCGATGCTGACATCGAGATCAGAGACAACATAGAAAAGTATTTCGACTTAAGGTACCTCAGAGATCGCGACCCCTGAAATCAGCGAATGCTTCACTCGACCACGGAATTCGTCAAATATTTATTTCTGACGCCTTCTGTTTTTATTAAATGTACTATAATCGGCCGGCCTCCAGTAACATTCTTTTTCATGGTCAATTTGTAGCGTAACACAGTTATTAAAGGACAGCCCCTTACGAATCTAATTTTCGCCTCTTTGTGCTTTCACAGGGGCCTATCGGGGTACCAATATTTTGATAGAGGACATCAGAAATAAAGAAATTACTGCACTACTAAAAAAACTGCATTATATAAATTGGCTTAATTATAAATAATGAATGTTGTTCTTCTGCAATTGATGAACCATTTAGTTTAGTATTAATGTACTTATTTCCGGCATTATTGAAAACCTAAATAAATAAATGTTTTCGTATAACAATATTATAATATCTGTGGTATTACCAAACTGATAAAAAGGATATTTTATAATATTTTTCCTTCTATAAAAGTACTTTAATATTCCTTAACGTACTAACATTAAATTACGTTTAAATACTATTAAGAAAATAATTATTATAATTATTAATATAACGTAGCGAAACGTAACCTAAACTTAACATATCATATGCAAAGATCAAAGTCTTATTCCTTTTAAATCATTCATGTTAATATTATATTAGTCTGTTGCAGTCTACTACCACGTAGGCCTCCTTCAGAGTGCGTTACAAAATACTATCTTCCGTTAATTCAGCCACTGCATGCCAGTTTTGTGAAGTCGTCAAACCATCTTGCCAAAGGACGTTTGGCACTCATCGCCTAACGGGATTAAAAAAGGGTAATTTCCATCGAAGTTGATATCAATACTCCTTAGTGAGTTTGTTTTAAATCATATTTTATTTTGACACATGTTTGAAAACTCAGGCCGATTTTATTCAAAAATCGCTGAACTCAAATAAAAGCTTGGCGCATCAATGATGCTCTATGCTGTTCTTTAAAAGTAAAAATAATAACTCTATTTACCCTACTAAGGGTTTCCTAGGGATAAATGTACTATCAAGTCATCGTGTGAACCACGCGAACGAAGCCACTGGCCGAAAGGCTAGTCTATACTAATATTATAAAGAGGAAATATTTTTTTGTTTATTTGCATTAAATAGGCTTAGAAAGAAACTACTACTAATAAAAAAAAACATACCTACATGAAGCTACATGATACACGGGTGACATAGGCGGAACTAAAATAATATTACTTAATCTAATTTTATTTGATTTTAATATTTTCACGCGCACTATCCATAAATGAAACAACTTTTAAACGGTTTCATATCATTTGTGTTTATTTTTATTGAAGTTTCGGACCTTTTTCAGGTTCCGGGTTCAAATAAGACTTATCACACACAATAAATCTTTTGTGAACACCTGTTAAGGGTCCGAAACGCCAATAAAACTGAATACAAACGCGATGAAATTGTTTAAAAGTTGATTCATTTACTAATTTTATTTTATTGAATACCATTAATACCAAACGAGCCGTATAAGTTTGTTACCGTGAAGGAGATATGTAATCACCTCTGCACAAAGCTGACCTTGATGCCAGTAAAGGTAATGGCTTTATACAGGCGACTCGTTTATTTTTAAGCAATAAATACATTACAAATTGTAAAACAAAAATTAAGCAAATGAAGATTTATGTAAGAATTTTGTAACAAACTTCATATATTTTTCTTTTATCATTACACTATTGAAGGCGACTATTATGATCTTTCGACCATTATTAAAATAAGACGCAACGTAAAAACCTTCACCAAATAAAGAATGTTCCAGACAGTTTTTAAATAAACAAATCATAAGATGTAGGTATCTTTATATACTGTCTCACTGGTATACAAATCAAACAAATTATTTCATAAATTGGTAGTCAGTATTATTTTAAATAAAAATCCCAAATGAATCGGAGATTACATTTTGATAAATATCATATATTTACTATTTGCTTTATAATTTTTATCTTTATTAAACACGAGTAGTTTGTCTCATGATAATCTTTAAACTTTGTTAAGTACAAGTTCATTATTTATCGGCAGGGCCGCCCAGATATATCCGATTGTGGACCAATATAAATTACAGGAAGGAATTTTGTTTTAAAGAAAAAATAAAAGATCGCGTGTAATTTTTCGTTTCTTTTGTTCTTCATTGATTTGTGTTTTACAATTCCATAAGTCGAGTAAAAGTAATTACTTGAGTATAAGTAATTACTTACGCAAATATTTTTAACTAAAAATAACAATTTGAATAGTAGGAATACTATTATTATTAACTATTAACAGTTCTTATTTCATCCATAGTCTATTTGTTAAATATATCTGCTAAGAGTGTAAAAACTTTATTTTTTAGTAATTATTCCAAGCATTTCCCAAAGAACTGAACAGATAGTGCCCAAAAAATGTAGCGTCTCGAGCACGTCCTTAGACTGAAGACACAGAATCGCAATAGGACTACGTCATGGGCCTTTCTGCATGAAAGAGGTTCCTTGACGTTTCTCTTATTGCTTTTGCAAAAAAATCAAAAACATGGTTAGATTAACAGTGTACATGAAAACAAAGAGAACACGAGATAAAATCAACAAAGCAGTTAATGACAGACAGGGACAAAGGATAGTGAATCGCGTGAAATAGTTATGCCTTAATCTATTTTTACGAAATTACTCTCAAATATTTGCAATAATTGTAAAATTACAAAATCGCAACCCTAGCCAAGGGTAGCAAAAGCCACTGACGAGTGTAATAAATATTAAAAAAAATTTCCTGTAAAAATATAATTATGAAAAAAATAGGAATAAAAAATTATAAATTAATTTTTCTTATTGAAAAATCTCTTTATAAAACCCATTTTAACCCAATCAATAAACACCCTTATATATGTTACATTCTTATTACTGATTATTGTTGATAATCAAATGAAAGTTAATGATATTTTATTTGGGTGTCATCTGATAATTATTGTTTTCAAAAATAATATAGAATGATTTACGTAGTATATTGGAAAAATATTGCGGACCGCATTCGGCCTGCTTTGGACAGCTCTGACTATGCTATGGACATATTTATATAAGCAGAGCTTAAAGTCATTCTGTGATAAATGTCACTATGTGATGGTTGCGTTTTCGAGTGCATTATAACGGAAGCAAAATGATCAAATATTTATCAATTCTTTGTGTTACACTTCATTTAAATACCATGGTAAGTTGGCTTTACTATTTAAAAAATAACTTATTTTGTTTATATTTTTACTGGTTTGGTAAGTTTCACATTTGAATTATTGTATTCATTTCCAATATTCTGTACTGTTCTGGAATTTAGTTATGAAATGCACTATCATGTTTAGATTGTAGAGGTCATGACATTAATTCATGGGGTTCTCAATAATATATGTACCTATAAAATAATTAGATAAAATATAAAATCAAACTACTATGATGATATTTAAAAAAAAATAATTTTAGTTTAGATTTATATTCTCAAGTATCGTTGTCACGCCACGTGGTAGGTTTAAAAATATTGTGAAGATTACAATTCTTAAATAAACTCTCATTAACTGTTAGAACAAGTAAAGGTTGTCAAAAGACAAGAGCCACATTGGTAACTAAGTCTCAACACCGATTTACGATTACAGAAACATGTAGAAGCAAAGACATACATAATATAGAAATCTTTACCAACAAGTGATGGCAAAAGGCATCTAATACCCACGTAGTTGTGAACACGATCTCAACTAAGAAATCTCTTATCTTATGTGGTTTTATAAATATAAGAATACTCATGTGTGGAATATAAGAAGTTTAACGTCTTATTTTACAAAATTTAAAAATTAAATTTAGCGTAAGTCCCACATATATTCGCTAGCTATTCCGCGATTTATCCCGAGTAAAATATTAAAATCAGTATAGTAGTTTTGGTGCTTATTCATTGAAAACAAATGAACAATGAAATCTTTCCTCTTTATAACGTTTAGACAAGCTGTCATCCGTTGATTTACACACGTGGACATTTTCAAACTGCTTTTTGACCCCTTACGAATTGTTTTTTTCTAAATCCTTTCTTAGCGGTAACGTTAAGGTTCTTAGTATAAATATTAGTTACCTTTGCGCTAGTTCGGACGATTATTTTTTTATTTATATCTGTGATCCGTCCAGTAATTTCAACTATGCTTTGATAGATCAGTCAGTCAGTCATCTATGCTTTATGTATTTATAGAAAATAGATTATATAACTTTTATTGTATAATATTCGACCAACTTGTCCTATTAACATGTTTTGCTTAGCACTTGAATCAATAGGTTCTTTTATATTATCCGATAAAGACTACGACCCTATGCCATCACGATATCGCCGAATAGATACTTGTACATCTACTATTGTTATCAATGCTAATGCTACAATAGATTTTTAAACTATACTTTACACTATAATGCTGTGTTAGATATTGTAATTTTATATAGTTGTCAAAAGTCAAAAAAATATTACTGTATTTTCTCTTACTTCTTTCACTTATTTACTTGATTTAATGAGTAAAATTAATAAAATACTCATTAAATAAAACAACTATTATACTTAAATTTTATTAGATTAAACATGTCAATCATTATACATAAAACAAGCAATCTGACGCTAGAATTGAGTCCCTAAAGTAAATCGGTAGCCTTAGTTCGCGACAGACTCTCATGGGCGAAGGGGAGGAAAAAGGAGCCAAATACGCCATGCCCACTCCAGCAGTAGGTTGGTGCCCACCTCAGAATTATCACAAAACAGATCAGAAGAATCGGCGAACGATCGTTCGGTTGATTCACGTCTCCAGCAAATGTGCATCGTCGGTCAAATGTGCCAGTGGTGCCAGTTTAAATGTCATATTATTATTTATCGGTCGAGACATTAGGCGACGCATCTTCCGTCAGATATAACCGTTGATAATCAATCGCATGACAGATAAAGCTCATAATTATGGCTTATCAATGAGAAACAATATAATGTTCTTTTTATATTCGAAAATAAATTATCAAAACTATTAGTAGACTGTTCTAAATGGGTCGTTGTGTAATTTTGTGCAACTAACCTAGTCCCTAGTAATAATAAATAGATGACTAGTACCTACTGCAAATGATATGTATAATTTAATAAACATTTATGACTAAGAAATAGATTGCAGTAGTAGTTATTTTTTTATATTCTACTTTTAATAGGTACTAACAGAGATGGTCTGTCTACCCCGTAAGGTCGTTAAGATATAAATAAATAGATAGAGTTGTCATTACAGGTAATGGAATTTGATGTTTGGGACTCTAACATAGTTGTATTGTTTAAGTTTTTACTTTAAGTATAATATTAGCCAGCTCCAAATAGAAATTATTGGGACGAAGGTACTTAATGATGAACATAAGTAAATATTAGTTTGAAAGTAAACTTAAAAATTGCCTTAATGCGTTAACAAAATACGCTACCAGTTTTCATGATAAGATTTATTCAAAAAATCATATAATAAAAGTGTACAAAAAGCTACTCATTAACCACTTCTAAATAACTTACTACACTAAAATAGCTTTTACTGCTCTTTGCAATACGTATATAATGTCAAATATAGATACAGCATAAAGAATAGACTATGTAATATTTCTATACTGTCAAAATAAATGTCCACTCTGAGCTACGTCATTTATGAGTGTGACATTTTGCACAGATAACTCTGTAGATAACAGTGAATGTTTAGCATTTCTTTATCGAATATATACTTAGCAACTTAGTGCCAGATAACCATTGGGGGTGACTACACGGATTTATAATCACCGTTGTTTATAATGGTAAGAACAATATAAACCACTTTTTCCATTCGTCATTTTTAAATTCCAGCTTCAATTTAATAATGTGACACAATTAATACTCATCGTAAATCTAGCTTTATTCTAGATGCAATAAATATGTAATATATTTATATATACAAATATTTGAATACACTAAACATTCACTCGCTAACACAATAATCCTACTCTGAATCTTTCTTCCTATCATTGTTTATCGCGACAACTGACTGTCGCTTGTGTTGTGTTTACAAATTTTGTTACGCTATTGAGCAAAAATAAATTTTCTTTTCTCTGGATGAGCAGTAAAATACTTATACCATGACATCGTATTTGTATTCAGTAAACAATGTAGATATTATAGAAGATTTTATCAAAACTACTGGAGAATTAAGAATTGATTTAAAATTTACTATTTTTTTACGTATAGGCTGCAAATGTCAATCCTCGTGTGTGCATTATTGGTGCCGGTATTGCTGGACTAACCTCTGCTAGATATTTAAAAGAAGAAGGAATACATTTTAACGTTTTAGAAGCCACTAAGTATATAGGTGGTACCTGGCGTTATGAACAAAGAGTTGGTAATGATGAATACGGACTTCCAATACATACAAGCATGTATAAACACTTGAGGTGGGTATTTATTCACATAATAGTTACATTTCTATTTTTCAACAAAACTTATTCAATATTTTTATTATTAGGACAAATTTACCAAAAGCTACGATGGAACTCCATGGCTTTCCAATTCCGAAGGAGTATCCTTCATTTCCCACCAGGGAAATGTTTTATGATTACATTAAAGCATATGCGAAATATTACGACGTGGAAAAGTATATTAAGGTAAGCTTGTCCTTAAGTAATAATAATAATATGGAAATCTATACAAAAATGCGATACATCATTCCATTATTTTTGTATATAAGCATTATTAAAACCATTTCAGCTCTTACATAATGTCATGCATGTGAGAAGAGTAGAAAATAAATGGAAAGTCAAATACAAACATATCCCTTCTGAAACGGAGTATGAGGAAGATTACGATTTCGTAATTGTGGGATCAGGTCACCATAGTAAACCTAATTACCCGAATATTGAAGGAGAAAATTTATTTAAAGGTACCACTTCATCTTAACACATTATCACAAATATTATTTGCTTTTAACATATTTAAATTTCTATTTTTAGGTACTATCATACACAGCCACGACTACAGAGTACCAGATCCTTATAAACATCGTAAAGTGCTAATAGTTGGTGCTGGACCGTCAGGGATGGATATAAGTTTGGACGTAGCGGAAGTCAGTAAAACACTAGTTCACAGCCATCATTCGAAAGTGAATTTTAGGACGCCATTCCCTTCACATTATATTCAAAAGCCTGACATAAAGAAGTTTAACGAAACAGGTGTCATATTCGTCGATGGAACTTTTGAAGAAATTGACGATGTAATTTATTGTACAGGTCAGCATATTACATAAATATTATACATTCAGATATAAATGATAAAGGATAAATGTGTATATTATGTACCTACTGCAGTTTTAAATATCAGTTGATGCAGTTTTATATATCCATTTAATATTTTCCAATAGTAATTAATTAGCTTTAAGAACGTTTCTCTGCTACAGGTTATCAATATGATTATCCGTTTATACACGAGAGTAGCGGATTAACAATATCCCCACATAGTGTCACGCCTTTATATAAATACATGGTGAATATAAACCAGCCTAGTATGATATTTATGGGATTAGTAGTACGAGCGTGTTTGGTCGTTGCTTTAGATGCTCAGGTAATTTTTGGTTTATCTACAGTTATTGGTTTACAGACAGAAAAAAGTGCTGTATAAAAATTATTTATTATTATTTATAATTATCGTTATTTCAGGCTCGATATACAACTGCCTTAATTAAAGGTAATTTTACTCTTCCATCACAAAAGGAAATGTTGAATGAATGGCAGCATTCTGTGGATGTATTGAGGTCAAATGGGAGACCGTTATCCCATATACATTTATTAGCTGAGAAAGAGGTAATCATTATTATACCGATAGCGTTATTTTAAATCTATAAAAACTAAATACTTTAGCATTCACTAAAATTTAGTCACATTGGACATTGTTCTGACATAGCTGGCTTCGTAAACGCACTCAAACTTTTACGTACTATTTTTATAAGAGGCAAAGGGATATTATATAATATAATAGACATTCAACCTTATCTAAAATAATAGTTTTCTAATTCTAAATGTTATTTTATATGATGACTCACATAAAATTAAAGATTTAGATTAACATGTTAAACCGGGACAAATACACAATTTATAAGATTATATTTTTAAATTAAACTGAATTATTAAATAAAATTATTATTTTTACTAACGGTGGAATTAAGTCTAATTATTGTTAACACCACATGGATGCAGAAATCTGCAATAAATTATATTATTGTAATTATTATTATATACTTCGCTTATGTTAGTATTTATTGTATTTTTCGGTGGCATCTTGATTTTAGCTATGTACCTATTCCTTTTCTTTCTTTCAGGATCAATATTATGAAGAATTAACTAAGCAATCAGGTATAGACAGGGTTCCACCTGTGATGTTCAAAATCCGTGCCTTAGATACACAAGCTAAATTAGATAATTTGTATACGTACAGAAACTATGTTTATACAGTAATAGATAACGAAAATTTTGTAAGAAACCTTGAAACTGAATCATCATCAAAAAAAAATAATGGTACGGCTATATAATTTGCAAACACTTGTGCTATTGGCGACAAGCGATGGAGACACCTGTTTACCTATACTGTTTGGCCGCCGCTGAGCTGTGTTAAGAAGACAGGTACTACACCTACACAACTCCATTTGCGCTGTGATGCCTACTTGATGATCCTAATAACTACTCACTGAATACAATTATTTCTATTGCTCGGCTGATAGATATATCTTAGCATGATTATGATGGCGCCACAGTGGAAGAAGATATAACACTGGTGGCACTAAAGATGACAAATGTTTCGGGTGATGATAGTACTTAAATGCTATTAATGAAATACCTATGGAATAATTTGTGATATTCGTATATTATTTATTTTTTCTAATTAATACCGTGAATCGATTTTTTCTAGAAACGATTTCCTTTTAAATATTGCCATTAATTATTTATTTTTTCGATTTGTAACTAAAACGAATAAAAGATGCTCTTTGTTATTGGTCGTTTATTTGTGTTTAAATAATGTTAATATTATATGGTAACGTTTTACAACGAAAAAGAAAGATTATGAGTAATTTGTTATTAAATTTACAAATTACAATCCTTTGTTTGTTATATTTTCATTTTAATATACTATGTATAAGCAGTGTTTAAAATAACTTAATAAAAATGGATATAAGTCATCTTAAAAAATTACACAAATCGTCTAAATTTAAAATATTTTTGTTATTTAATTAAAGATAATACATTATACCACATGCTTTATCAAGACTTATAAGGAGATCCTTAGCATGATATTTTTTTTTTATAAAAAGAGCTATGTCAGATTTCTCAATGTTTCTGGCGGCATTACATTTATTCATTATTTTTTCATTTATGATGCTAAAACTTATGTTTACTATTTTATATATGACAAAATGTGTACATTTTACAATATACATTTAACAGTATTTATTATTGTATGTGTTATAACAGTAACAAAGTACTTACATCCAATAACTAAGACTCGAATTACGTGTTCAAAAATACACTTAATATTTAGTATATTACACAGAAAAATACTTGAGAACAACAACTGTCTGCTGTGTATCCGTTTCTTAAATCAACTGTTTTCTCTAGTATTTTTCTTAGTCAAGCATTAGGATGAATGCAAAATTCAGCAAAAAACTATAATTAATATTATCACAGTTTAATTTGTGATGACACTTACACCTTGTCGAATAGAAGTATTTACACATTAAATATTTCAACCAATATTATACACCAGCTTAAAATCGAATGTATTTGCATATTACTTAAATATTTACTTTTGAATAAACGATGTGATTAATTGTACTAATATTAATAATGATTACTTAATTTAGGGAAGTTAAATATCACATTATAGTGTCGCTAGTCATCGATAGGGCATGGATTCCCTTGTCTAGGGTTGTACCACCTCTCATATTTATAATCATCGATTATTCGGAAGTCAAAGTCACGATAGTTGAGCAAGTCATCCAAACGATATTTCGCATTGAAATCTCTGATGTCAGTAAGTACCGGAGGTCGGCGGTAAATGCCCGCCTCTTGTGTTAGATTCACGAAGTAATTGTCCTGGAAATAAAATTATTATAAATAAGCATCTCTTGTTATTTTTGATATGTACCAGTATTCAAAGATTTATTAATCATAATAAAATTAGGTGAGTGCTCAAATTATTCAATTAATAAATAAATATAACGTCATTAAGTAATAAGACAACGTTTATTTGATTTTTAAGCAACTTCAAAACAAAAAAGAGGTTGTTCTCCATTCGTCTGTTTTGTTTTTTTTTTTTCTAAATGTTATTGAGCTAACATTAAGTAAAAAAAGGGCATCAAGCCGTTGTTTATTATTTTAAAATGAATAAGATTTTTTTATTGGTTGCTTTTGGTCCAGAATTGTGAATTTTTCTTCAATTCATAAGCTTACAAAAGGTTCTAAGAAAATTCTGCTCTTTTGAAAAAACAAATTTTGATATGAATCTTAAGCTTACCATTTCATTTCCAATCACATTGACGTCGAGAATCTTTATGCCCTTTGAATGTAGCGTACGAACATGCTTGAGCCAGGCTTTCAACATAGTCTCTTGTGGAGGTAACTCGAACTTCCCAGCTGCTAATGCTGCTGCATATTCACCCTGCATTTTCAAGAAATAAATTGTGTGAATCAAATCAAAGTATTGCCGAAAAATGATACTTACTAAATGAAACTGTTATGAGTACTACCCATTAATAGAGAGCGGTAGAATGACGACATGTGGAAGTACAAGGGTGATTCTTACATAATTTAATATAATTATTCTAAAAAGATTTTCTACTCTACCTGTGCTTCAAGTACACTGTTGAGCACCTTCTTCGGTACCCCCACAAATACCATCGTCGGATGCCTGATATTAACCATGTGTTGATACAGCGGTAGCAGGAACTTTTCCGTAGCTGTGATGCCGACACTCTTGTCCAAAAACGGGTGAGAGAAAACGTATCCTGTATCGTAATGAGATAAAAATTAAAGGATATATTCGTTTTACTTATTACCGTTTGCTACTATTACTTTTTTAGGATCACAAGCAGTTCTTTATACCCAAGCTAATAAAGATCTATTGACTCTTAAACTCTAAATCAGAAACTTCGACTGCGTCGATGTCGGTATATTTATCCTGAAAACTTTTAGCGGGTTTAAAAATTTACACATTCAGACTTAATATGTGCCAAATTTAACAAAAATGGACTTTTCGCACAAAGTGGTAACAATCGTTCCAATACCCAAACGTATTCTGTTAGGCCACTGGGCAATCGCAACATTATTGTAGAATCAAGCTCTTAAAATTGTCATCTACTCTTATCTTGGTTAGATTTTTGTGCCGTAATACAACAAAACACTATGAAGTTGGTGATATTTCAAAATAGAGTTTTACAGTGCCCTCATCCTTCTAATACCACTAATCTAATACCACTAACCTGTGCAAAATATGACATCATCTACGTCCTCAAAACTGTTGTCCTGGAATATGACTCCGTTCGATGTAAACATTTCAATGTCAGGCTTTTTAATATAAGTGTTGGAGAAATAGGGTTGGTTGTAATTGAGATGATGACTGTGGACCAGCTTCGAAGTGACATTGGCAAGGTGAACAGCGAGATCAAGACCAGAAGGCCCAGCTCCGACGAGGAGTACCCGCCGGTTCTTATATTCATCAGGATCTTTGTAATCATGGCTGTGTATCATTTTCCCTACGGCAAATCAAAGATCATAAGACTGGATTAGGCATAACACTATAGTATTATTATTTTGTATCACAGTGCTATTTTTTTTTAAATGTCTTGCAGGATTAGGGGTATAATCAAAGAAATACCTTAATTAAATTTTGAAATAGATTTAACTATGTTCTCTGGTTATAATTCCAAGTTGCAGTTATGCTACATGATTTTCAATTTAATTACCATAACAGTAGTTTATTGTTATGTTTCGATGATAAAAACCTTCTACTTCTAGATTGACCAAAGTGCAAATGTAACTTAAAACCTTAGAAATATTGCTATACCTGGGGCCAGCCCTTCCTTATAGACTACTGGCTAGGGCACTAGTATTTGGGGGACGACATGGCAAAACACACAGATTATGTGTACTTTTGTCCATGTCCGCATTATTCAAAAGTATAAAATTTCCAGACCAGCAGTGCCCAAAGAGTTAATTTATACCCTGTTTTTTTTTAATTACACTATTTAATGTACACCAAATATTTTTTTTATTTTGTTGTGATTTTTAATGGGCGTCATTTCAGTGCTTTGCTTAGGGTGCCTAAATCTAGTGTTTTACCTAGAGAGTTAAGTTTCATTGGACTTGCGCTGGTCATACCAGGACATAGATCTTCTATAAATAGATAATAAATTAAAATCATTGAATAATTTTAACAATAAAATATTTTATTATTTACCTTTGAAAGTGTCTTGTCCTTCGAAATTCGGCCATACCGGGGTACTGAATTCGCCGTTAGCTACAACCACAAAGTCACACTCTGCCGTCCGTGTTTCCTTCTTGTCAACTTTTGTGTAAGTAATATTCCAGTGATCTTCAGCCCATTTTATTGAAGTTACGTAACTTTGAAACTAAAAAATACACATCTTAATTAAATTTTAGATCACTCAAAGTGCTCATGCATTAATGGCGCTATGGTTCGGCTAATATTTACGTAAAAATTGCATCTCAACAGAAGCCCAACTACGTGCATTTTGCCATTGTAATATCTACCTTAATTCCGGTACTATTATATATATCTATCTCCATTGTTGTGTGAGGAAGACAAAGTACTAATAATATGGGACTTCATATAGATGCGATTATTACGTAAACATTAGTGGAATTACTGGTAACTGGTTACATTTGCACTCCTTAACACCCACCAATCTGTACAAAGCCCGCGAGGTATTCAATTCGCATTGATTCCATCTATAGGGAACGCCTGTGCTCCTATTTTAACCTCGGACGCAGTATACATCGTTTTACGCATTTTTTGTACGTACATTTACGCGCCTGGGGAACCGATGAGTTAATCAATGTAGTTTATATTGTATAATAACGTTTTGTAATACCTTTATTTATTTTTTCTATATTCACTATATTGTATAATTCAAATAAGTCATATCCATAACAGGGTGTATATTAATTACATCAGATAGATAAGCATTATCTGAGGCATATCGAACTTGAGAAGGTTAAAATTGTTAGGTAATTATTTGAATTGCCGACGATCATAAAACATCGTATAAATTTATGCATAAACAATATTTACGATCGATCTACAGCATGGCAACGATCAATTAAACTCATATGGTAATCACGGATGATTTCCACAGATGTATCAGAACTTGTTTTTAATAAGGCATTGTGAATCACGATCATGAATCACCTTCGACAATAATATAAAAAGTTCATGAATGAGGAAGTATTTAAAAAAAAAATATTAGCTCCCGAAATCAAACTAGATATCGCACCGGCACTTTCTTGATTTCTCTATGACAACCATTCCGGTTTCCTTCATGTATAAAAGTAAATTAATTTTCAAAACTCAATAAACAAGTTATATTATATTTGTACTTTTAAGTATTTGTATTGATATCTAAGTTTCGAACTTTGCAAATTCCAGTTTTTTATATGTTAGTTAAAGGAACGGAAATTACTATCTTTGGTCCATTCATTTCCTGCTAAAATCAACTTTTGGTAGAATCGCCATCTAGTGAGGTAATTTAGTAGTGCTTTCTTTTTTTTCTTAAAATACTTCCTTGTTATATAATTAACTCTAGGTTAGCAGCAGCAGCTCTGGGCATTTCATTAATTTTTGAATAATACAAGTATTAGATAATGGAAAGGAAAGTAATATAATCAACATAGTCTCTTTCACTACAATTTAAAAAACCCCATGAGTTTACCTAAACCTAAATACAATTTATATCACCTTATTCAGGAACGCTAAAATGTAAACGAAACTATTACTCGAGAATAATATCATGAGTATTTTTACTGTCAGAGATATTATTTTATCTACTTATAATGCCGATTCAATATTTACGTAATATTCATGTTGATAATGCTACAATCATCAGATTAAAATTTAATATAAAAATATATAGACTTACTTCAATCTGTTTCTCCAGTTCAAAATGTTTGGCAAATAATTTCAAATACTTGTGGAAACACTCTCCTGTGGGAAAAGATTGAGTATCATCTGGAAAAGGAAATCCCCTATACTCCATTGTCAACCGTGGTGTATTTATCCTGAAAAAAAGGATTGAATAAATTTTGATTATTTTCATATTTGTTAAGCTAAAACCCTTCATTTCATATCCATACAATGATATAAAAAAATAACTAGGGCGCCATCTTGGGTCGTCCTCCATTTAAAATGAAAATGCTTACCTAAAGATGGATATGAACTTAACTAGTACCTATGCAAAATTTCAGTATGAAATAATCTGTTGAGATTAAAGTATAGCAAGTTTTGATGGCATAAGACTGAGAATGTAAGATTGTATTATACATAGATCCTAAGGTCAGTTTTGGAGAGTGAAGTGCTAAGTGGCTACGTTAAAAATTTCAAAAGTCGTTGTAGAAATTGTATGCGTGAAAATAAATATAAACACTGATATTATTAAATATGAACTTTAAAGTGTAGCAAATATCTTAATTGCGTTTTAAACTTGTTTTAACTCATTAAGAAGTGAAACTTATTTGTTTTCATGACTTTTAATTCATGGAACAAACTCATAAGATGCCTTTGACTATATTATTATTTTTTAATTAAATATATTAAAATTGTCATTTTTGTTTGACGTAAATCAAGTAGGAATTAATACGAAAAATACCTAACGCACTTATACGCACTTATTTTTCTTTAGACTACTACTATGAAATCTTCAATATTAGTTTTTAAAAGATATATATATTAAAAAATTAACGCTAATGAATGCATGAATTCTCCGAATGACCTCGACTTTGACTCATATTATGTGCAAAGATTCAACAAACGATAATAAACTATGAGAGCATTCCTCGCTACGACCACGTCTTTTATTTTTTAAACATAACCGTGATCATGATTTGAGATTTTGCTGCCAGGATACCTTAAAATGTCCAAGTTTTTTTTTTTATTAAAATGTCAAGTTATAGCAATACCTAAATGATGTGTTTATATTAATGAATATGCTTATATAAAGACTAGCTTTTGGCCGCGACTTCGTCCGCGTGGTATAGTTACTTTGGGCACCGTTATTATTAAAATGCCTGAAATAAAGGTTCATGATTTTATCTTTGACAAGGATGAACTTTTGTACAAACTTTAATTCAAGAATTGAACACTTTTATCGCTTTTATCACAATAAAAAATAATCTTTGTCCCATTTCAAGTCAATTCTTTTTAGTGGGTTAGGCTTGAGAGTGTTACTGTATATGTACACAGCCCTACTTTCGCATTTATAATATGAGTATGGAATAAATAGACGTTTCTCTTTGTCGCTCATTACATCATAGGTATAAAAAGAGATTACCAGACAATCACCAAAATAAATATACTAAGAAAAATATAAATCACGATTGCTTGGTCGACTTTTAAACTCGCAGCTGTTAATTAATTTGTTAATATTATATAATGATATGTTGTAACCACAGAACACGGAAAAGTGTTCTGTGGTTGTAACCAACTAGGTAAAAAGTCCGTCTAATTAGGCGGCTAGCCCTATAATAGAATAGCGCTATTCATTGGCACGACTAAACGTCGATCAGCTGAGTAAGGATAACAACGTCATTCTACAAAACCCAGAGAACTGGTTAATAACAATATTCAAATAAAATTACTTTGATGTTCAACTTCGAAGACACTACAACGGTATAGCAATAGCTTTATGTATATAATTAAACGACTAATGACCAATATGTGACAGTACTTTATCTATGAAAACTAAAACTATTTATCTGATTTGAAATATAGATGAACTGAAAAACACAAATTCACACAAAAATTAATCGAAACTGAAATCTACGCAATATTATAATTATATGTAATCGGATTACACCCGATTACATATAATTATAATGTATACAAATCGTGTGAGTTTAAAAATATTACTACGCAATATTTCTTGAACAAAACAATTACGCAGTTTAATTAAGAATAAACGCCGTCTCACCGTCATCAGCCCTTTAAGTCCCTACTGCAAGGACTCAGGCCTTCCTTATGGATTGGTTAAGAAGGATTGGCCATGTCTCTCCACGCTGGCCCAATGCGGATTGGAGAGTATCAACGATTGCAAATGCAGCCAGGACTAACGGCATAACGTGGCTTCCGAATCACGGAGTAAATCGAGATAGTAATTTTTTGGTCACCCATTCCGTGACCAACCCTTGCGAAAGTTGTTTAACAACAACGATCGCGGGCAGTGGCGCTTATCCACTACGTCACCGAGTTACTCATCAGTATAGCGAAGCTTAAAGATCTTACTAAATTTTATTTGAACTCAACCTTGACCAAATTTGTGCGATGTAGAATAGCTTAACGCCATCTAGTACAACTCAAAATATATTTTTATCATAATATATGGAAATCTTTATAAATTATATTAGATAGAGATATTGTAATGTCATATAAAATTGTAAGCAATGGCTGCTATGTTGATATTTTAATTCTCCATAAAAACTTTCGCTACCAATTTCATCCCTTTAAGTGCAAATTTTTGGAGATAATAAAAATAAAGCTATTACCTTCCTAGGGTCTTAAACTACCCACATACCAATTTTCATCGATAAAGACCCAAAAAAAAGGAATTGGAATTTCGAAAAAGAGGAATGTCCTCTGCAAATTTGAAGTCTCAAAGTTTAGGCTCAGCGTTGTATTCAGTCAGTATGTCAGGACATCTCCTTTTGTATATCTATAGATTTTAATGTCTTCAAAATAACAAGAATAAGCATATCATTATAGGATTTAATGAAAAACTAAATTGCATGCAGGCATGAGTTATGCGGTTGGTCACGAACTGAATTAGAAACTGTTGTACTGTTATTAAAACAATTGTTTTTAAATAAAGCAAAATACTTAAATATTAGCCGATTGATTAATATTATCTGTTGAATTGAGAACCTACTTATAGACTCTGCATATGATTACCTAGTTTCTAAACTCCATTTACATAAATAACTAAAGTAATTATGCAATCAAATTATAATTAAATGTGGTAAACCACTAGATATATATACTGTTAACAATTAAGACAGGTTTTAAGCTGTGATGCTGTTAATGAAATAGTCCTATTAACTAAAAATAAATAGTAACTGGAAAATATTTGAAAACCAGATGAATGCTGGTGTTCTTTAGACTTAATATAGGTAAATAACAAATACTTAATACAAAAAATTATCGTCACATAAAAACTGAGTTGATTAGAGACGACTGTGAATCGAACTCTGTGTTAATAAGAAATACCCACTCCAGCGTATACATACCAGCTGACCCAGCGATATTTTTTTATATAAATAGAGCTAAAAATGTGTGTCATATAGCAGTTTAACACATTTTTGTAATCTAAACGAGTTCTTAATGATTTTAGTTATATCCGATCGACATATTGCGAGTGCACATTGATAAGCTTTACATACGTCAAAATTAAGCAGTAAACTGTATGAAATTAACCTGTTTCAAGTTCGGTTGTTCGGATTACATAAACAGTTACAACGGTCGATTAATATCATTTCACCGACAGTGTGCAATTTCCTTTATAAGCATCGGAAAGTTTTTCTTACAAATAGAAGATAAAATAATAAAACCTTTTTAACATCACAGTAATATTACCATACGACCTTCGTACCCGAGTGGTTCGCACGCCGGATTTAAGGTATCGCCATCTCTGAGGTCTAGCGTTCGATTCCCAATCGAAAAAAACCTCAGTTGTCTCAGATAATCCAGAGAGCGTTAGCTATTCATATTCAGATCTGAGCAATATACCGATGTGATAAACTTACCTTAGATTTTTATACATGCTAGTGAATAATGGTAATCCGTCCTCGTCTGTGCCGACGTGTGGGTCGAACCTCCAGGTGCCACCCACGTGTTTCGTTGCCTCAAACACTGTGAAATTAACGCCATACTCCTTCATGTAACGAGCAGTACCTAGTCCGGAATAGCCTGCGCCTATTATACACGCCCGTGGATTCTCTTTCACCTGGAAAAAAGAAATAAAATTTGTTATCACTTCATGTACCTGATACCAAAAAGTTTTTTTTCATTTCAGGAGTAAATAACAACTTAGAAATAGTCCCAATACCTACTAAAAAGCTTGCAGCGCTAATGAAATCGGAGACGAGGAAATACGCATATTTTTACATACTAGAAGCTTTCCAAGTCAATTACTGTTAGAGAGAAAATTTTGATTATAAGTACTTTTAATGTTTAGAATTTATTTATTTATGTTTTAGTGCACACAAATAAATGCTTGTATTAAAAAACTTTTTATTGTATTTTATTTTTAACTTTTTAGTTTTGTCTTAATATGTTGTTGTTCTCGAAGGACGGATCAAAAGAGCCCGAACACGATGCAGTTGCGTTATTTCATTGCTAAGTCCCTATGACCACCTTTCATCTCTAACATCACCAGACCTTGGTCTGGAAAGCGTCCAGTACCAAGTCCTCATAAACACAGATCTAACGAGCCCAAACACGATGAAGTTGAGTCATTTCATCACTAAATTCCTACGACCACCTTCCGATTTCATCATCGTATCAGCTATTTGGCACCATAATATTCCATTGTCATCCGACTTACATATCTATGCAAAATATCAGAACTATCGGACATTGGGAAATGGGTCAAATTTAAGTTCCAAGATTTAACTAACAACGCAAGTTAAGTAAAAGCTTATAATAAGTATATTTTTTCCATAAAGTATAATTTCAGTAACTGTTTCTAGAATAATGAAATCGCTTTTAAAATAGTTATTAATCCCTGCCTTTAAAAAATTTTACGTCTGTTCTATTTTAAGATAAAAAAATATTTCATGATTTTTAATGATATTGAATTTTTTACAGAAAAAAAAAAAACCCTCCAAATCGCATTATGCCAGCGTGGAGGGTTATTATGCCCCATCCATAAAGAAGGCCTGGCCCCTTGCAGTGGGGACGTAAAAGGGCTGATGATGATGATGATGAGATATTCCTTCTATCGAATTTTGAATGAATGCAAAATACTCGTACACTGTCTTTTGGTTTTTCGCTGATATAAACATGTTGTCTAAATAATCTAGTTATATTTGGTGAAAAGCATATATTTTTTTGTTATTAAAAAACATAACTTGCAATTCGATTTTAATAAAATAAGTGTATAATTATGACCACCACGAGCCCATAAGCTGTCTAATAAAAAAAAATAATCGCGTCATAAACACACAAAAAAAAACATACAATCGAATTGAGAACCTCCATATTTTTTTGAAGTTTGTTAAAAATCTTTCCTTTTAATAAAAGCGGCAACGAATGTTACGAAATTAATTGAAACAAAGGTTATCATATATACGGTGTTATAAGACTTCGTCTCAATGCGAAGCATATAATCATTCCTTACTTGGTATGCAACGGAACCACGACCTTATACCCTCATTTTCACATTATGCAATTTACAATGTTTACGCTTTGTCTCTAGTAACTAGTTAGACAACTATAAACACGAGCTTTACGACAGTAATCCAGTTGAAATAGATGAGCGGATAATGTTACACAAGCCTTTCTAATATAATATTAAACTAATATAATAAAAAGGTAAAGTTCCTTACTTTTTTGTTTGTTTGTTATGAGAATACTTTTCATTTACATTCACATACGGAAAGCTACATCATACGCGGGTGACATAGGCTAAAAATTAAGCGAACGATATTGCAGGAAAACAGCTAGTATCTGATAAAACAAGAAGCGCATGTCCAATATAAGTGCTGTACTCGTTAAATAAAAACGATTGAAACGGAAAGGTAATAGGTTATATTTTATCCCGAAAACCAGAATTTAAAGGGATGAAAATAGGAGTGGAATTTTTATGGGGAATCAAAATGATACCATAACGACTATTGTTTTCTATTTAATTTGTCATTGTAATAGATCCATCTAATATTACTTATAAAAATTTCCTAATATAGTGATGAATTTAACAAAAATAACATATTCAACTCAATTTTTTGTAAATATTTAAGCACAAATAATTTTACAAACGAACGCATTTTATAATTTTGAGCTATACTAGATGGCATTAACGTACATTTTCTGCATCGCACTATATTGGTCAAGTTTGAGTTTTAAAATAATACATAATAAGAACTTTCAGCACGACAAAAACGTCTGAAATGCTTTAATTTAACAGATGTATTTAAAATATATATTACATTTTTCAGACGTTGAGGATCGTCCGTTAATAATTAAAATTATATAATTGCTTCAATAACAGGCAAATGGAAACTTGCCAACGTTTACATTTTAAAGTATCGAGCACATATTACTCAATACTTACTACTAGAACTGCTTATCATACTGCGTAATATCTGTAGGCATTTATAAGAGTAAGAAATATAAGTAAAACAGTTCTAGGTATATTGGTCGAACGATCATTGAAAATGTTAGAAAAGATTTCATAGGGAGCTTATACAGTACGCGTACATTTGCTCCGGTTAATATATTTTTATTAATTTTCCGCTCGCGTCTCTGCCCGCGTGGTTTTCCCGTCTTTCCAACATTTTACATTGCTGCATCACTCCAATTAGTCATAGCGAGATATATAGCTTTCAATAAATGGGCTATTCAATAAAAAATCAATTCGAACCAGTAGTTCTCGAACCAGTACCAGTAGTAACCAAACAAACATTCTTCAGCGTTATAATATTAAGTATAGATTTAATTTCATATTTAGGAAGTTTGTCTGCTATGCTAATGTAAACAAGTATACCACAGGTAGATACAGTAAATGGATTGGTGAGCGGGCTAGCCTTGCAATGCAATACAGGTGAGTACTAAATTATACCACAGTTTATAGAATTCAATAGATATTAATTCCAATAAATACATTTTTTAAATAAGTTGTAATGTTTGTATGCATATTATAAGTATATTGGTAGTATTTAAGAATATCTACTACAACTGTGAAATGTAAGTATCAATTTTCCATTCACAATGGATATTTATACTGGAAAATATTCTGAATATGCCCAAAAAGATCCACTTTGTCCCTGATGGAATCCCATCTCAGAATACCAAGATTTTTAAACTTTTTTCATTAAGAATATGTAAGTATTATTCTTCTTTTTATTATTTAATTACGAAGAGCAATTTTTTATAGTGTAGTTCTTATATTAACATTGAATACTTATATAAATTAATTGACAATCTAAAATCTATTTTATATAGAACTCACCCTAATTTTGTAGATTGCTGTTGTAAAATTCTGTCTGTGGGACTTTCTGAAATGCCCAAGATTGTGTAATAGTATTTCATAAATTAAAATCAACAGAAATTACTCACTTTATAAAAAGTAATACTACGTATCCTACTTCTATTAATAATACAAAACCGCTAAACGGTTTGAATATAAAATATATCAATCCTACCGAATACCAAGTGAGCATCTCTTCATTATTCATTGAATGAAAGTGAAAACTGAAATTACCGGCCATCATTAGGTACACTATTACCTAAAGGTTTAAATAATGGTCTTTTATTTGTTAAAATACAATAGAATACTTCCCTGACACTCCAGTAATATATTAAAATATTAAAAATTACGAAACTTTTATCCTTCAAGCTCTTTCAAAAATCATAAAATTAAAAATAACGTACATAATAGAGTACAACGGGTTACTTACTTATGGTATTTTCTTTTTATTCTGGCGTTTTTCTTTTACATTTAAAACTTTAAATTTTTTACTTAGATTCCTTTTGGTTTTATATATGCAAAGTTTGACCTTCGATTCTAACACCATACAACATGTCCATTTAATTACATTTTTTGTTTGCATATCACTCAACAATAAAGCTCTGGGATTTCCTCTTAATATTGGTTAATTACGCAATGCGGTTTCTAAATAAAAAATGTGCTGTACTTGTCGCGACTACAGTTCTTTATACGACAAAAAATTAATTATTTCTTTATATAGGCATGCCAAGGTCTTCAGGTCTGTGTTTTTGGGTACATCGGAAGCTGTACATTTCCATTGGGATGTTATAATTCATGTTTGCAGTAACCACATGTACTTTTATGTCCATGACACAATCACTCATGTGTTGCAATGCGGGTATCCGACGACCACCAGAATAAAACAATATTATTTTTTTACCTGGTCAAGGCCTCGCTGTGCAAAATGAATAAAATAATTAAAGAGGATTATCCCTAACGACTCATAATTTATGACAAACCTTAAGTGACATTTTCGTGATTTCCGAAACCATTCTAATTTGGCTACAACAATAAAATTAGAAAACTAACTTTTCCCTATTGTTATTTTGAGTCTGAACTGCGTGGTACCGTTGTTATATATGATTTGCATAACATAAGCACTTGTAATTAGGTGCTTCAGTGAAATCTTCATACTCATACAAATCCACAGTCCAGAATATAAGTTGTTTTTTTTACTGTGGGGTTACTAATTCTCAATTTCTGTATTCGAAATTATTGTCAAAAACATTTTCTTTAGTTTTAAATGTAAATGTGATACGAATACGATAAAGAAATAAGTGGAAATTGATTGAGTCGGTCAATAATATGGTTCTAATTCGTCAAATTATTTGGCATTACATATTTCATAAAATTTTTATTAATTAACACGTGACAAAAAAAAATAATTTAAGTGAAAATGCTTAATTTTTTTAATTTATTTTATAACAATATGAATGTTTAACTGCTCACTTATGAAATTGCGCTAATAACAACTGTCCCCACTGACGCAAACAAATCTTCACTTTCAAACACATTTGCTGTATGTAATAAAATTTATTTTATCAACGTACTTTCATATTTTTTATAAGCACGCCTTGTCAATTTATATCACAGAATTTCATCTTAATCTTGTTAATTATTCAGACAATCATTAAACTTTCCCAATGAAGTAAATTTAACAATCGAACATTTCTTAAAAAAAACGGAACTACTTCGTATGTATTTATCAGTTGTTATTAAAAGATACAGCCACAAGTAATACAAGAATCCACAGTGCAAATATGGAGTGACAAGCGTACCGGTTGCGTTGCTTCCTGCTTGTTGTATTACGCGCGGCATGCTTCTGCGCATACACCGCTAAATTGCAATGCGTGCATCTTATCCACAATGCGTGAAACGATCGGTAAAACTATTCCTGAACTCCCATTTTACTTTTAAACTACGTCAAGAACTAGTATTTTTATTTTTAAATCGTGATTTTATTACATTTTTATATACCTAGTTGTTTGTTATATTTCACATACACTACAATAAATAAATATAAGTTCAATAACATAAAAACTACTTTCTTCGACCAACGATAAGCGAAGCATGTTCAGTCAGCTAAGCATCGACCCTTACCGTCATTCATCGGACTTAAAAATGAAGACAGTAATTTATGAGGAAAAAATTGGACGTTATAAATTGGCTTAAGGAAGACATAGTAGACGATGCCACAATTATCACTTAGCGGAAACTTACTATCTAGGTGGAAATTCCATCTGTGGAGCACTCGTTATTCTCAATTTTATGAGTTTGTAATTATATTTGTAATTAAGTATCAAGTATGACGCAAATTCACAAATAATATTAACACCTATTAATTCATAAAGTTATTAGAAAGTGATTAAATGTTATTTTAAATCTGGTACCGGAGAAATTCAGATTTAATGTTTGATATGAACAGAGAATAGAATAATACTTAGATTTGTGCATTCTAGAGCAATTCTTACATATACCAAAATACGTAATGCCTCTTAATAAAAACAAATACTCATAAAATAGAAAGAAAATTAAAAATATGACACAAAGTGCTTGTCAGATTTCGTAGACACTGTTCCGTCGCAATATTGTTATGATTTTACTTTTCCACGAATTCACTTAATAAATTTACTACTAGATCTATACAAGTATAATAAAAAGCCAGATTTATACTCTCTTTCAATGAAATTTGTACGTTTTCGTCTGTCTCCAAGAGCATTTTATTCAATGGGTTTAATATTAAAGTAAAATAAATAATGAAAAAATACAATACTATAAATAACTTACTTAGCTGCCATAATTTTCTGAAAATTATGCTATAGATATGTATCATCATTTTTGTACGCAATATTCTTTAACGAGAAGAATATTCTCGTAAAAAAACCAAACCAAGAGGATATTAGACGAACATGACGAAACTCTTAAGATCCATAATCATTACAAGGTTTATATTATTTCATTATAATAAATGAGTTGTTAATATAATAAGTACTTTGTGGCAAAAGATCATTCGTTAAATATATGTTCTTTCCATTGAAACTCCTTCTTAAGATATAAACATATCCTTCGTTCATAAGACTTCAACGTCGTCGTCTTGCTTTTGAAAATGGTAGTATTGTAGAAGTCACACATAATTTATTATGCATAGATTAATTACATAGTTACAATTAATTATTACTAATAATATTAAGTACTTATATACCGATTTTTTTTAAAGTTATTATTAAGTAACCTTTTTAGAATAATATTTTTTTAAGTCTAGGTGCGACAAGTATTGAAGAAAGACCTGTATTGTGTGTAAAAAACCAAGGCCTATTCTATTATTCATTGTGATGACTAGTTCTACACATAAAATTAACATGTATAATAAAAAAGTGTTTAAGTAATCCTCTTAGTTTATTTAAATTAAAAATAATATGAAAATAAATAATATGCTTTATTGCACACAACACACGACAAAATAACAATTACACATAACACAGCAAGAAACAGTATACAATAGGCGGCCTTATTGCAAGATAACAATCTCTTCCAGGCAATATATGAAGGATAAAATAAATATCGGAAATAATATGCGGGAATCGGTGGAGCATGTAGAATACATAAAATCTTAAATAATATAAAGAAAATAAAATAAACTAAATTAAATTTATTTTATTTTCACAGTGCTATTCTAATATTTTTACCCATAAATAAATGAGTCATTCATATTTGTAGAAGAAATCAAAATAAATAAAATAAAAGGCCTGAACTAAATTTAAATTCAAAATTGATGCTTTAAAATTTATAGATGAAGAATTATTATATTTTATCAATTTTGCTATCACAATACTATACTGATAAATATCTTTGATCCACCAATCGCCAATCCACAATTTTGCATTAAAGATATAGATGAAAAAATTTAAAATAATATACCTACCAAACCAAATCCATTTTTCACTTCAAGAGCCAAACTCAAGAAACACAAAACAAAAGCACAAGAGCGCAATCTGTTCGCCATTTTATAAAAAAAAAAAAAACAAATTAAAACAAAAACAAAGATCACGCGCGCATGGCTGTCAAGTTACACGGCAACATAACGAATGACTGGTCCCGAGTCGGGGCTGATGGTAGGGGACCAACTGAATAACCTTGACCGTCGAGGCTCACTGATTCATATACTCGCATCTTAAAGAGTTATTATGGATCGATTAGACAATTACAATCATGTCCTGTAGTACCATAAAATGTTAAAGTAAAGATGTCACAAGCGCTTCGGATGTTCTATATACATAGATTATATACACGTACACATGCAGGACTGTCTGTCCTGTCCAAAAAGGAAAAATTAGAAAGAGGAAATATTTAAGGATGTTGTATCTATGTAGGTTTTTCGTTTTTAGTATGTAGGGTATGTCCACCGATTTCGGTACGAATTGCAGACCTATTATAAAATTCGAAAGCTTATGCGCCTGAGATGGTCTTACAACAATTTCTAAAATCAGTTTAAAAATTTTGTGTTTAGAATGGGAACATCAGTTTAGAATGGAAATATTCTGTCAAATAACAAATCAACAAAGAAAACAAAATATTGTGTTTATCAATAATAACTGTCTGTTTTTCCATGACTTCACACTCGTAAATTATCGCCTATCACTCGGTTCCTGAATTAAAAATTTAAAGTTAAGCACGTCTCTAACCGTACTAAAGCCATTTCAAACCTCATTTAAACAAGTTTTTTGAATGATCACTTGGTAGCAGTATGATAAAACTAGGACTTTTTGCCATGTAAAATGTAAGAAACGAGTTATTTAGATTAATCAGTTGAGAGTTTGTACTTTTTTCAACTCAGAAACCGGCCGTATGTCACCCGCGTGTGATGCAGATTCCCGTAGGTCAAATTATAATTAATAATACAATAGTTTCAAAGTCTATTCAATGCAAAAATAATCAAATCTTTCCACTTTATAATATTAGTATATGTAGATCAATAGGTACATATTACTTTGTTTGTTAATACACACTGGCGCATTTCTTTATTGATCCCATTGAAATGAATCAAGATTGATCTTAACTTAACTACTCCTAGCTTGCAAAGTATAAACTGCAACTGGTTATTAATTTTTGTCTATATTTGAGTATTTTAAATTTTCGTGTATTTCGTTAAAATGAGCTCACTTTGAAAATAGTTAGCTTAGTACATTAAATTTATTTATTTTTCATATGAATAACAAGGAAAATGCTTGATAAATTGTATAAAATTTGTTGTAAGTTTGAGAGCAACACAAAAAAATATTGGGTTAAATATTAACTATATATATATATATATATATGATTCATCATCATCAGCCGTATGACGCCCGCTGCTGAGCATAGGCCTCTCCCATAGATCTCCACGAAGAGGATTGGTATTTTTTTGTATACTTAAAAAAATCTATTATAAAAATAGTTTACTTAGAAACGCTAGAATATAGCAATGATAGCTTTCTATTATAGGGGTAACTGGGTAACTTTCAATTATATTCAATTTTAACTATGTAAGACATCCTTGTTTATTACGACTATGGAAATGATTTGCACAATGTTGATTTCGCCTGATACAAATATTATACTAAATTAATTTAATTAAGTAATTTACTCTTTAAAGTCTCTCAAAAGACTTTAAATATTTGCACATACTGAAAGTGAAAGTTTATATAACAATAGAATATTTTGCTATCAATAAGAAGAGATTAGGAAATTTGACGAAATCAGCGATAATAATAAAATTCACAATTAGATATTTATAGGTACGTTCGAAAAAGTAGACTAGGTAATTTTAGTTTAATATAAAGCAAGTTGAAACTAAAATTAGAAACAAAATTTTTCATTGCAACCGAGGGACCTTTTATATTACAAAGTGACAAATGTTCCACAGAACGGTTCTCCGACTTCAATAAGATTTTTCATCAAATCATTATAAGAATGCCAAGGATTCATCCAAACGCATAGACACAAATTCGTTTAATGAGTATAATGGATGCTGAATATTTTTTTTTTCGTCCAACAGTCCAGAATAAAATAAATAAAACAAAAAAAAAAACAGAATGTCGTCCTTTGCTTTCCGATTAACACAACACAACTAATCTGTGACTCGAGTTTTATTTGTCAGTTTGTGTGTATACCTACACACAAAATGTTTAGTTTATACATAAAAATATTAGTTTAAGCAGAAGCGTGGCGGAAAATTAATTTATTGGTCAGACCATAGCGAGGTTCCCAGTTGAACGGGGTATACGCGGTGCCCGTAGCTTCCTACTTTTGCTACATAACTAATCCAGCTTTAGTTTGGTCTTTCAAAAGTTAAGATGATATAAAGAAACTCTCATACATATATTAACCTTAATAACAAAAATGAAATAAAAAAGCAAATAATAATAGCTTACTAACCGGTAATCTCAGTTGTTTTTCTTTCTATAAATTAATAACTTAGCAACCGTATGGATTAACATAATTTGTGTTCAAATCACGTCTACTTCATCCTGGCACACGGTGTGAACGGAACTGTTACTCCGTTAAGTTTCTCAAGAAAAATCTCGCTTGGGAGGCTAATAAATAATTTACATATTAATAGTACCTAATTTATTTAGTGTCCCCCTAGGTACTCTATGAGTTTAGAAAGAAAGCCTTAATTTATTAAAAACTTGAATTTATATTTCTTTTTCCTCGTAGTTAATTTATACTTAATTAAAACATAATATATTTAAAAATTACACTGCATAAAAATAAAACATATGCTTTAACCACGCGATAACGTCATACAAATTACTAGCGAAATCAAATAAAGAAATCGGTGTGTAACTAAAACTCGCAGGCAATAATTAAAATATATAATAGGCAGTGAAGAATAAGGAAGTTATGACAACGGACTAATTACACGATATACAAACATTTCGACTGGCAAATACGGCAAAAGCTAACTGGATTCTTCAAGGACAATTATAAGGCGTGCGACCGCCTAGTACTCAAGCCTTCACTCTAGCCCTAGGATACGGCATCTTATCGATGTTATGGCGATATTTCATTTCATACTTTGACAATGTCTATTGAATAAATTTGGGATATACGGCTAAGTTACTAACACTGCTATCAAATCCATAATAATCATTATTTAACGTTCCTTTGTCGTTACTAAAGTAGATTTCAAAATAGTAAAATTAAACGAAATATCGCCACGTCTTTGAAAAAATGTCGTATCTTATTGTTAGTATCATGGCTAGAGAATTAGGCGGTCGCACACCAGGGTCTATAGCAAACTCCTAAAACTGTGCTAAGACCTCGCAGACGTACTCAGACGGTCTGTTAAAATCCTTTCTAAACTAGACACCAAGCTGCACTATTATATTCCATGTCTCGCTAAGACAGACACATATGGAGGAAGTAAACTACATCAGATTATGGAAATGAAGTAACCGATTTGAAAGGGCAGCGTTAGCTTATATACCTTTTCTCACCTACAGCTTTGATTTCTTAGTACAGTGAAGATATCATAATGAAATAAACAGAATGTATATATGACATGAGGTTTGGTTCACATAAGTGGTGTGTTACTTTCATAACAAATTGTCTGTTTTCTGCCATATTTTGATTGATTTAAAATAAGCTTTAAAATGCCGAACTACAAGAACGGTCCATACAGCATTCGTTCGGCTTAATCTGCGGCCAAGGTGGCTAAAAGTCGGCCCGCGGGCCGGATGCGGCATTATTTGATCCGGCCCGCGAGACGTTTTGAAATACCTAATTTAAAATAAAATAAACATTGTGTGATTTTAACAAACCACCACGCAAGTGAAACTTTTATTGGATTGTAGGCGTCGGAATGTAGACGTTCAACTGATAATGTTTTCGGAAAATCATTCCATATATACATATAAGGTATCACAATCGCGTTTTTCACCATAACCCATTTAACATAATAATTAGAGAATGACGATAGGAATTCAATAGCAGACTAAATATCTAATTATGAATTTTTATATCAATTAAGAGAGTAGCTCGGTGGCGTAGTGGATAAGCGCCTCGGCCCGCGATCGTAGTCGTTAAGCAACTTTCGCAAGGGTCGGTCTCAGGATGGGTGACCAAAAAATTATCATCTCGAGCTACTCCGTGCTTCGGAAGGCACGTTAAGCCGTTGGTCCCGGCTGCATTTGCAGTCGTCAATACCCTCCAATCCGCATTGGGCCAGCGTGGAGGGTCATGGCCCATCCTCCTTAACCATCCATAAGGAAGGCCTGAGCCCCTGCAGTGGGGACGTAAAAGGGCTGGTGGTGGTGGTGGTAGTGGATATCAATTCGCACGGAATATATCATAGATACAATTATTAAGATGATAGGCACCTGTTACACTTCTTAAAAATAAATGTTTAACACTTAACATGTAAACTTTTTTTTTCTCTTTATTGGTAATAGCTAACAACTACACATTTTTCATTAAAAATTATACAATAAATATGACATAAATAATTACTCATGTAGTCAAATACGCTATCCACGACTAACTAATTAGTTTACATTAATTTAAAAACATAGGTAGTGTGATGCTGAGCAACAACCAATGATCACTCTCGGGCGCATAATAAGGAAGCATTAGAAAAAAGAAGGAAAAGAAATTTGAATTACTAGTCAATAGATGGCAGCACTATAAGGCATACCATTAATCGTAGTTATTGTAAGTTAGGAAGTTAAACACTAAAATTAACAGAGCACATATTTTTGAAGAATCCGTCAATATCTATCTAAATCTCGAAATTTTTTCATGTATATATTAAATTAAGAATTCAAGAAGTTACAGATATTAGCAGTTTTTGACTACAATTTGAAGTAAAAATCTAAACTTAATCGTGTTTTCATTAAGGAGATTTAAAGAATATATTTAAAAATATATAATAAATCATAAATACTGGAGTATCAAAATACATTCTTGAACTATAAATATTCTATTATATCCATATGATTATTCAAATAGGGACTGTATAATAAAAATCATAATAGTGAGGCAGCAAACATCAAAGCCTTCGATGTTTGCCGCCTTATTGGCGGCGCAGCAAAAGATTATTTCTTCTTAACTGTTCTACACTGGCGGTGTAGAAGGTTTCATCGGAATTTGAAATGAAAAAGCAAATTAATTAAATTTGCAAAAAGATGATTTGGTAGTGCTTCACTGCAATATCCAACAACAGAACTTGTGTTCTAAGTCTATTAGACTCCCAAATGTTATGAATGTGGTAATAAAAAACCATCAATTTTATTCGATCCCAAGGGCTTAACCATGGTCAATTCAAGGCGTTTTTGGATGAAATATAAGCCGAATATGACGACGTAACATATTATTCTGAAGACAGATGGCTAAGCAAAGGGAAAATGCTGAAACGGTTTTACGAGCTTATAAATGAGATAAAAGATAAACCACTATCTGAATTGTGCGTTTTGCATTAATTACAAATGCGAACAGTTCTTTTCATTGATGAAAGTTAATAAATCGAAATATCGTACAAGACTGACTGACGATAATTTGAAAAATTCTTTACGTCTTTGTATCAGTGGAATTATCCAAACATCGATGGATTAGTTTCCCAAGTTCAAGCTCCAGTGTCTCATTGATTTCGGTAGCGCTATTTAACTATCGTAATTTCTAACAATTCCAAATTTAACGATTTAATTATAATGTTATTATTTCATTATGTTATTTTAATAAATTGATATCATAATAAAATTGTCGTATTTATTTAATGTCTCATATCTATCGCAAAAAATATATGAGCACTACAACACTACTTTAAAATGTACTACTTTTAAACGTAACAGAGTTTGGCCCACAACATGTCCAAGGTTGCTTATACCTAATCTACGTATTTTATAATGGGGGCGCGGGGGAGATGCCTAGCATGTTCTATGCCCGATAATGATACTAATTTAATCACATTTGAGTTCCGCGCTCGACAGATGGTTTTACTTCGGGAAAAAGGTTGTTCCGCTGGCCTTTTATCTAAACGCCATCGAATGACTGTCACCGGACCGTCCGCTACAATAACGATTTGATCAAATAAGAAGAAAAAATTAAATATATAAAACTAGGCTTTAAGAGCTAGATCCCATTACCTAAACAAAAAAGTCCGATTTTTTAACTGACACTGACAGTGACAGTATAACCTAAATACGATTGTCAAATAAAAAACCGATACAAATAAATAAATTACAATAAAAATACAAATTTTAAAATGTCTATTGATACAGATGATGAATTTTCTGACTTCAAAGTATGTGTTTAATTTTTTAGATGGGCTAACGTTCTAGAAATTTCATAAAAATCAAGTCCAATATGTTGCAGATACCACCTATCTTTGATGATTTACATGAACGTGTAAAAGAATACCTTTTGAAACCGGAACGACTCTCTATACATAAGTGGGAAAGATCTCAAAGTCACTGGCATCGTGAATCAGATGTAGATTCGCTATTCAAAATCGATGACAATGATTTTGGCCTGGACACAACACTTGAGGTGAATTCAAACAATGTTGTTAAATTTTTCAAACAGAGTACCTTATAATTTGTAAATTAGTCATTACATTTAAAGTTTGTATTCCATATTATAAATCTGCATAAATAACATTTTATTTTCTATTTCCTTGTTCTTAAAATAAAGGTTGTGCGAGATCCTATAACAGGAGAAATAGTAGGTTTAGAAGAAATAAGTATACCCACTGAAGACGACGATGATAGTTTATCAATGTCCAGAGCACCATTGCCTCCTAGTCTTGCAACACGTGGAACAACTACAAGCAGTCCATTCCTGCCAGCGGGCTTTGAAGAAGAACTTGATAGAATACTTAATAATAAAGCAAACTTTAGTGAAATCAATATTGATTTGGATAATAATGAGCCTGGAAAATTTCTGGGAGAAGGTATAGCTAATTTTTTTATAAATTATTGTAGTCTAAGAATATTTTCAAAACACAAAACAATTGTACTTACCTTAAAATTTTGCTCTCTCTTTTAATGAACTCTCTCATGCATATTTTAGATAATTATTTGCCTATTTTAAAAGCAAGTAAAATACAGCTTAATTCATAATGAATACTTAATTTGAAACTGTTTTATAGCCATCAATGTTTAATACAATAGTTTGAATCTATCTTTTTTTTATATTTAGCCTTGCATTTTTTTCTTATCTCTTTTTTTGCTGTATTCTTGTTTACAATTATGTATGTGGGGTCAATGAATAAATTTCTTTCTTTCATATATTTATTTCATACTGACATACTGCATTGCTGTTTGGGGTGGAGCTACTAAAACAAAATTCTTAGCATTAGAAAGGTCTCAAAGGTCCCTTCTTAAAGTGATGTATTTTAAACAGCGCAGATTTCCTACAGAGGAACTGTTTACGTTGTGTGTTGTCCTATCAGTGAGAAAACTTTTTATATTACATGCGATTTTAAAAATCATAAATTATTGAATTATATACCTGAAAAACAAAACAAAAGGAATAAAAATGTAGTTGTTCGTGCAAATCCGGTAAATACAGTATATGCAAGCCGTCAATTTGAAAAGTTATCTATACATTTATACAATAAAATAAATAATATAATTAATATATACACATTGACTTCATATAATACTAAAAAAGTTCTAATTAAATTTCTAAAATCTTTAAATTATAATCATGTTGAAAATCTACTGCAATAAATTAAATACACTAAACACAAATTTACACTGATTTTACCACTCAAAGCGATAATTCATCCAAACATACACACACACACACACACACACAGACACAAACATAAGTATGCCAGTGTTTACGTGTCATACTATGCATATACATATTCAAACTGGCATGCGCACACACTCATTTGCATGCTCTAATTTTATTTTATTTGTTTGTATTTATTTTTTTTTTTCACAAGGCGAGTGTACTATGTAATAAGTGAAGACAATTGTAATAAACGAAATATCAAATATATTGTATTATGGAAGTGCGGACTATTTCTGGTACAGATATTTATTATATCTAAAAGAAATAGTCCATTACAAATGTTTACAACATTCTGGTCTTGAAATAGAATATTTTTATTTTTTTTATTTTATTTTTATTTCATAACATTTAGATCTCCTAGTGATACCTCCTGGATGTAAGGAAGGTGTAATCTTTGCTGATGATGGATTAACAATACTCAACAATGAAACTAAAGATGAGACTGCTAAAGATGAAAGTGATAACAAAATACAAATTCAGATAGATAAAGTTAATTTAGAAGAAGTAGTAGATAACAGTGCACATTTAGCTGGTATGTAATTTTACCTCACTTGATGCTAATTTAATTAATTGAAATAAAGCTTAGTATGTTACTGACTTCAGAAAATCAATATGCTATGTTAAGGTATGTGTATATTTATTTATTCTTTATTTCCTTACTAAGGATAAATAGCAGACTTAATGCCATAAAGGCATTCTTAACTATCAGCATTAGCATATATACATGCAATAAAAATACACATAATATTTATATACATACTGCATATATACATATATATTATAAGATATAATGTGTACATAAATCATAGTGTCTGATTATGAAATGGAAGTAGACAGGAAATAGTATAACATTATATTTAAAATTTGTCTCTTCAAACTAAGTTTACATAAAATTTACTATTTATATTTTACCAACCTTGATTGTCTTCCACAAGGTTTATGGAATGATGATGATGAACCACAACTGAAGCCAACCAAAGCACAGAAGGTAGTTGAACCATCAACTGGTAGCCTGGATGATGACAATTTTCTTGAAAATACTGTGATACATCCACCAGTAGAGTTGCCAGATATACCTATTTTGAATATCACATCATCAACAGTAAGAACTGGGGTTACATCAACGGAATGGGCAGAAATGATTGATGTCTCTTTACCTGTCCCAGAATTCAGAGAAAAAATTCAAGATATGGCACACACATACCCATTTGAACTTGATAATTTCCAAAAACAGGTTTGTTGTTTCCTTTTTTTCTACTAAATATGGACTAATTTCTTATGTTACTTGATACTTACTCTGCAATAATTTTTTGCCATACAATTTATGAGTATAATTTACCATACATTCAATTAAAATTATGAGTATTCCATAAAAAATATTAGAAAACTTTTTATACAGTGTATAAATATTTACCACCGAGGTTTGGAATAGTGGCAGTCCTCGTACTTACGTCATGTTAGGGTCTCGAAATACGCGACGTAAAGCGAAAATACTTAAAGCGAGACATATTTTTTCATATTTTTACTTATTTTTCAAGAGTTAGGTTCCACACAGACTCAAAATAAACAAAGAACTACATTTATAACAAAGCATATACATACTCTATTATCAGAAGTAAGTCATTAAACTTAAAATAATTAATTATGTACTTATGAAATTGCCAGTTATTTTTGGTATTTTAATAATAATAATAAAACTCTCATAATCAAAATATGCAATGAGAAATAATAAATTAAACTTTTGACTTAAAGAAACTATCAATTCTCGATTGCTTCGCTTCTTTCTTCTTTCTATCATACAGGTCTTGGTAACATTGATAGGCTGCACCAATTTTGTTATTAACATTAAAACTTCTCTCAAAATTAGGATCATTTTCTTCAAAAATTTTCATTGCATTCTCCACATTTGCAAAGGCTATGCTAAAGACGCTATAACTCCTTTATCCATCGGCTGTAACAACGAGGTGGTGTTTGGAGGCAGGAACAAAACTTTGATTTCAGGATCAATATCAGCAATACGCACAGGATGGCCGGGAGCGTAGTCCAAAATAAGTAAAGCTTCATAAGCCAAATTATTGTTTAAACAGTACTGTTTCACTTCAGGTATAAAATGCTTAGGAAACCATTCTTCCAAAAATTATTGATGTAACCCATGCCTTTGAATTAGCCTTCCATATAACTGGAAGTGTACTCTTGATGTAACTTTTAAGGGCTCGAGGATTTTCAGCCCTAAAAACCAAAAGAGGTTTCAATTTAAAATCACCTTCAACATTCGAACCCAATAACAACGTCAAACGATCTTTAGCCGCTTTAAACCCAGTCATAGACTTTTCTTGCTGCGATATAAAAGTACGAGAAGGTATTTTTTTCCAAAAAAACCAGTATCGTCCACGTTATAAAGGACATTGCTCAACGTCCATACATGGGTGGCCCCAAATCCAAAAAATATAGGAAAATACTTATTTTATTGTGTGTCACTAACTAATTCTCATTATGTATTTATTATACCGCGACCAAGTTGTAGAATTTATTATCACGCAAAATATAATTCATTTTGAGGTTATAATTTGTTTGGAAAACCACCAAGAGATGGCACTCTAAGTACATGACATGATATTGATGTCTATATTGTCAAAGCAAAAAAACTCAACTTTAAGAAAGTCGGTTTTTCGTTGTGACTTGTAAAAGTTTATAAGTCAATAGACAAATAAATCATTCTAATAGTTAAATAATATACCTATTGATAAGCTTAAAATTAAAAAACCTATAGTTTTTTTGATGGTTTACATCAAAAGATGGCGCCTTAAAGACGTAAATGACATGATGTTAATATGTTTACGAGGAATATAAAGGTAATGTTATAAAAAGAAAGTAGTTTTTAGGATATGTCGTACGAATATCAATCTTTCTGAATAAACAAGAATAAATTATCATCATTGACAGTTAATGAATTTAGTTTGTATAATATTCAGTTTTTATGTCTTTATGTTTTATTTGGAAAACCACCAAGAGATGGCACTTTTAGTAAATGATTTGAAGTTTATACTTAAGTTTATTTTCGGTCAATTTAATTTATTCTTGCGACCGATCGCAAATAGCAATATAAAAAAAAATGTTTCTTTTTGCTAATAAGTTACCAAACTTTTTTTATAACTTGTGTAATCGACAGCAAGAACAGAGGACTGTAGATCGTTTAATAATATGACTTTTAACACAGAGAAACATTTATTGATCAACGTACAAAGGCAAGATATATTGAGAATACATTGACAAAGTCAAAAAATAAAAAAAATATAAATTAAAAACAAGTATAAAAGCCTCCTTAAAGAGGCCAGTAATAATATTTCAAAAACATGGTAAGGCTGTCGGCAACAACTTGTATGAGATGAAAAACATCTGATGGTCGACAGTACACATTCTTTGACTCTAGATTAGCATTTGAAACTATATGATAACATAATGAAAATACTTTTTACAGTACTTCTAACTTAACTTATTACTATACACATTTAAAAAGTAGAAAATTTTTAGGCTATATTGAAATTAGAAGAAGGTCACCACGTGTTTGTCGCCGCCCACACATCCGCTGGTAAAACCGTTGTTGCTGAATATGCAATTGCTATGTCAAGAAGAAATTGTACCAGGTAAAATCATACAGATTTTTCATTCAAAATATAGGAGTCTCGTTTCATTTTTACTTATATTTTTAAATTAAATAGTGCATGTATTTGAATCTCCTTAGGTCGCTATTATTATTCTGATATTATTTAATAGATAGCTAAATTGATAGTAAGTATTTAAGTTAACTATACAAATAATCTATTTTATTAATTTAATCTATGTCATTTTATATAGAGCAATATATACGTCACCAATCAAGGCACTATCAAATCAGAAATACAACGACTTCAATAAGCAATTTGGGGAGGTTGGTCTACTAACTGGGGATCTTCAGATAAATGCTACAGCACCCTGCCTAGTGATGACTACGGAAATTCTGCGATCAATGCTTTACTGTGGCTCAGATGTTACTAGAGACTTAGAATTTGTAATATTTGATGAAGTTCATTATATAAATAATGCAGAGGTATGCACTTATTGATTTCTGCTTTCAAACTTTTTCTATCAATTTTATTAATCATTAAAGATATTTTGGTAGACAATGCTCGTGCAGCATATCAGGATTTAAAACCGAGTCCTCTTGATATATTTAAATCATATATAAAATGAGTTTCACGTTATATTTTCAATAAAAAGTGCTGTTTTAACGATTTTTTCTTAATTTGACTACAATTTTAATACTTTTAATCTATACGTTTATTCAGCGTGGTTACGTTTGGGAAGAAGTGTTAATATTGCTACCATCTCATGTGAGCATAGTCATGTTAAGTGCGACTGTACCGAATACACTTCAATTTGCCGACTGGGTCGGTCGGACAAAGAAGCGCAAAGTGTACGTAGTTTCAACGCCAAAAAGACCTGTGCCCCTTTGTCATTATCTCTACACAGGTTCGTAGAAAAACTTCTTGTTAAAAAAAACTATAGTTTATACTTCTAAACCATCCTTTACAAGCAGGATTAGATTAATCTTGATTTTACTTTTGTTTCTATTACTTCCAATATAAACTGCCTGTCTTTGACACACTTACAGCCAGTTGCACAAACGTCCATTATTTTCATTAATTTAAAGCGACATTACCCATTCAAATTTAACATTAATTCGAGCTTAAAGTCGTCAATAAACCTTAATAGACGTTTGTGTAACTTACTGTTAATCTTCTCGTTACTTTTTTATTATTCTTTGAAGAACACATATCATTTTATTTTAACAATTGTACATTCAGGGTCTGGTGGAAAATCTAAACATGAGAGGTTCCTAGTCATTGACCAAGAAGGAAACTTTCAACTCAGGGGTTACAACGAAGCAGTCGCGGCTAAGAAAGCTAGAGAAAATGAGTACAAGAAGAATTTTGGACCTAAAGGTACCAGCTATAAGTTTCATATTAGATTATCATAAATAAAACTAAAACTCGTTCATAAATTATTTCCTGTCACATTTTAGCTGGTGGAAAACAATTTCAGAATCCCAAAGCGGAGCAAACTATGTGGGTTGCTTTTATAGACCACTTAAAACAGAAGGATAAGTTGCCAGTTGTAGCTTTTACATTATCTCGAAATAGGTAAACAACAAAAATTGTTTTCGTTTGTTTTATTTTTATATGTAAACATAATAATGTATATAAATACTACTTAACTCTTTCAGGTGTGACCAAAATGCAGAAAACTTAATGTCAGTTGATTTAACAACAGCCAAAGAAAAAGGTCACATACGATCCTTCTTCCAAAGGTGCCTTCAGAGGTTAAAGGAACCAGATAGACATTTACCCCAAGTAAATACATATTTTACTATATTAACTGAAAGAGGTTGAGTACAACTTTAAGTAGGTAATTCAACAAAACAAGGTTAATGACAAAATTTGATGTGCATTCGCAGTGAAGTAATAACTCTAAACTTAGGTAACATCTGTTTAATGCAGGAAAAAAAAAATACATATAGTAAATTCTCGTTAAATAAGAATTTTGCAACCGCCGTTGCCGTTGCAACGTCAATGTTAAAATAAAAACAATAGTAAAACCGCAAACCACAAGGCCGCATATGCAACCTGTTTGTTAACAATATGTATGTACATGTGAAAAGAGATTTCTGCGCCAAACCGTCTCTAAAGTATTGCAGTAAGCACTACTAAAAGAGACATTAATACAGTTCTCTCCAATATTCATTTGAGCTAATAATAAAAAGTTATTATTTGAAATTGAAAATTGATTTCGCAAGCACATAGGTTATGAAATGTTTTGTTATTTCAGGTTATAAGGCTTCAAAGGGTATTGGAAAATGGTATAGGTGTTCATCATAGTGGTATACTACCGTTACTCAAAGAAATTGTAGAAATGCTGTTTCAGACCGGTTATGTAAGTATAAAAAATAAGAATAATGAATAATATTTATAAGCATTATATATTCATTAATTTCTAAATTTAAAGGGAAATGATGAATGAAAGTGCTAGTTCTATAATAATGTATATTTAACCTTATGTTCTTTGAAATAAAGCTCATTTTCCCTGTTCTCTTTTCAAACAAAATAACGTAACTATAGGGATCGCACACGTTTAATTTATGTTTTAATATACATAGAAAATTCAAATGAAAAAGGACGATCACCAGGCAAAAAGGGACGGGTAGCCATTCTAGAACTTTTTGGTTATGCTTCGAATATATAGAGGCTAACCTAAAATATTCTTTGGTAATGCTTCGAATATACCGGCAGGATTGAGGCTAACCTAGAATATTCTAGATGCTAATAGTCTACCTCGGCCCTAATACGCTGTATTTAATTAACGTTGTTATTAGTTTTTATCCCGAACCCTAAGTCGTAACAATACTTATGTTGTGGTGTAAATTTTAATGTAAGTTATATTATACGCAAACATTAACTTTAATTACAATGTAATTTTTGAATAAATGTTATTATTATTATGACTGCATTAGGTGAAGATATTGTTTGCGACTGAGACTTTCGCGATGGGTGTGAATATGCCTGCACGTACAGTAGTGTTCGATGAAGTAACAAAGTTTGATGGACAACAGAGGCGAACGTTAGCTCCCGCCGAATACATACAAATGGCTGGCAGAGCTGGCAGGAGAGGTAACCCTTAAATAAATAAAAGAAATATGAAACAACATCTCATATATTGCTAAGATCACAATTTAAGAAACTAAATAATTATTGCTATAAATAGGATTGCTACCATATACCTTATATTTTAAGAGTAGGTTTTTTTTTTTAATCTGCCGCTAGTATCGGAGCCTTCATAATATTAGTAAAGATGAATATCAAATTCGAGCGCCATCTCTTGACATCTAAAACAATTTAATGCGTGACGTTCCCATTTTAACGTCACCACTACCTGCGACTATACAGCCATCTCTAAATATAAAAAAATTCCGTTCGCAGGGCTGGATGACACAGGAACAGTGATAATTTTATGTAAAGATGAAGTTCCGAACTTGGTCACTTTGAAAGGCATGATGATGGGCATCCCACAGAAGCTCTCGTCGCAATTCAGACTCACCTACGCTATGATATTAAGTTTATTACGGTATGTAATTGGTGAAGAAAACTTATATTTAATATGTTAATCGTTGCGAGGACCTTGTTGGCGCAGTGCTTTACGCGTTCCCATCCTATTGCGGAAAGTCATCAACTTAGGCAAATTTCGGATATCGGATGGGTAACCAAAAATTTATTATTTTGACCTTCGTCTTTCAGTGGGCACGTTAAGCTGTTCCTCCCCGCTACAATTGCAGTTGTTAGCACTCCGTTATCAATCCGGAATGGGTCCATAACAAAATTAAACAAAATTTATCGAGTTTTGTATGAACTCGTGTGAATACCATTGTAGGAAGTAGTTAGTATTATATTTTCGTGCGACTCAGGTAGCATTAGTAAGCGATACGTTTCATATTATTATTTTACAGAGCTGCAACTGTATCAGTTGAAGGGATGATGCAACGTTCGTTCCGCGAATTGAATCAAATCGTTCAGGAGGACAATAATAGGAAGCAGTTGGAATTAGCCGAGAAAGAATATTCAGAGAAATGTAGTAGTCCTTTACCATCTCATTTGGCGCCTTTAGCTGTATTTTACGACACTGCAGCATCTTACATCGACGTACTGAATGAGATTATGCCTATATTACTGAATCAATCTAAGGTCGCGAAGGAAATGGTACCAGGAAAAGTGTTAGTGGTTTCAGCAGGGCCGTATATCAATCAGCTAGGAATTTATTTGAGTGGAAATGGTGAGTGTTTCACGAATAGAAAATATAAATGGGGATGATGAAATTATATATTATGGGATTATGAAATTATGGGATGATGATAATATTTATTAAAATTCACTCAGTCACATTTGTTTTATCGTAGATATCATAAGTCATCCGTTATTACCTAGGACGATTTAAAGGGGAAAGGGGTCTACAAGGGAGAAAGAAGGAGTCTAGTAAATATTGTACTTTGAACAAGTATGCGAATAAGGAGCACGCAAAATAGAATGTATTTGTACCTACAAAACAAAAATAAATTATGACATTAAAAAAACTCTTTTACGATTTTGTTTTCTTTGAGTTCTTGTAATAGTTATTGTTTGAGAGAGCATGGAGGTTAAAAATCTTTAGTAAAAAAAATATGATATCTTGTATATCAAATAACACGGTACGGCTGGTACAACGCCCACGTTAATATCACTTAGCATTGATTGAAACAAAATACAGTATTCTGACTAAGCTCTATGTTTTTAGGTCCTCGTCAAACTCCATACAAGGTTTTGGTATTGAATACTGTTGAGCAAGACATGAACAGATACAACTTTGAAGTTGACGAGAATTGGTACAGAATGCTCAGCTTTTCAACAATGTATGATGGTGTAGGTAAGTTCATAGTGTAAAAAGATAATCTTACAAACGTCAAAAAATAACAATACTTGTGTAGCGTTCGTACCAATAAAAATATGGACTTTGTGGCGATACGCTCATTGGGTAGTCCCGCAATATTAACAACACCAATTAAATGCACACACGTACCTCATGACTGGTTTACACGAGATTAAGTGTAAGTTGATTTTTGACTTAATTTCAAGTGATTAAGTACGTGTAAACACTCAAATATGTAACAAGTTAAAATTTAATTAACTACTGATTATCGTAATTACAATGAGGAAGTATTTAAAAAAAACATTAGTTCCCCAAATCAAACTAGATGTCACTACAATACTTTCTTAATTCATCCATGACAACCCTACCGGTTTTCTTTTATGTATAAAAGTAAATTTGTTACAATAAACAACTCATATTCTATTTGTACTTTTTAGTATTTGTATTGATATCTAAGTTTCGAACTTCGCAAATTTCAGTTTTTTAATATGTTAGTTAAAAGGAACGGAAATGACTATTTTGCTAGAGTCGCCATCTAGTGGAGGTGCTTTTTAGTGCTTTCTTTTTTTTCTTAAATACTTCCTCATTAAAATACAACTTATTACTTAATCACTTAAAATTCAATAAAAAAAAATATTCTTAAGTAGATAACTTTTTTAATTTAATCTTACGTTAAAACGAACCATTAGCTGCAGTGCAGCAGATGTACACGTTGATTTTAACCCTTTTGAAGTCAAAAGTCAGAATTACGTTTTATGTATATGTTCAATGCAATATATCACACGCGACGAGAATCGAAGCGTTGGAAAACGTCTGATCGATGGTATTCTTTCAAAATAGATGTATGCGCGATCTGTCGCGCATATCACTGACAGAACAGTTAAGTATTCTCATGTACATGCCCTACATCTTAATATATTATTTTTAATAAAACCTTTCACAAACGATACAAAAATTAAATAAAAGTATATATAAAATGAAGAATTGGGTATTCCACTCCGTTTGAAATAATAGTTGTGATTGTTTATTTTAATTTAAAAAAGTAATAAAACAAATATTTCGGGAAAATAAACACGTTTTATTGCCTTAGAATGAAATCAAAATTTAAACTATTTTTATACCCGTGAAAACGCTGTCCGTAGTATTCTTGACGTAATTGTAATATGTACACAAAACCTTAACTCTATGCACATAACAGATGCATATAGTATAAATTAAAAGATGCCAATAAAACAAAAACAATGCCATCTAACGATCTATGATGAAACAAAAAGATATTAATAAGCTAAGAACAGCGCCATCTAGGATTTTGATTTATATAATACAGTGACGTCACACAGTAGCGGGACGTATTTCAAACACGTTACACACAGACAAAAAGTCACGATTGTTAATTTTGAGATAATAATTATTTTTCACTACCGAAACTACCGTAATCTGGTGACAGAACAACTTAATTATAACAAAACTATTTATTACAGGAACTGAAGAAAGCACATTAGATCACACAATACTATGCATAGCGCCCAAAAATATTGTAGCGGTTACCAAAACAAATCACAAAATCGATGCTAACATTATAATACAAGACTGGGAGAAACGACAGATGCCAAGGTAGTTTATATTTTGTCCTAATTATTACTAGGTATATTGATACAAATTTAATATTTAAGTTTCTTTGCATTAAAACATTACATAATCATTTGCACTTAAGTTGGAATATTGCAGATTCATTACTATTAGATGTCAATTGATTGCCCTAGTGTTTTATTTGTAATGAGATTTGCCATATTATTTTTTTCAAATGTAAACTAAAATATTTGGTACCTACATGAAATTATCTCATCATAAATAAGCTACTTTTAGTCATTCAAAATCTAAACTAGCCGTAAGATAATGATTGAATAACTAAAAATATCACTGAAGAAAATCTTCAGTTTCTCAGAAAAATACTAGCCTTAGTTCATTATTATCTTTCACGGCAGGTTTAAAGACGCCCCCGTAGGCTCTAGTTGTATGATCGCTGTACAAGAGCTGTCTCGTTTGTCACACGCTGTACGCACCGGGGCCACTAGTTTAGAACACGTGAGCCTGACTCAGTCGCTCGCCATCTCCACCGGCGAGATACTGCAGGCGCTGGATAAGATGAATTATTATTTGGTAATTATTGATAAGAAGCTAGTTAAACACGCGCAGACATGTGCAAACCGAATTAATCGGGCACGGGGCGGTCAAATCCGAGCTCTAAACGTGCGTACGCGCATTAAATGTAAATAAATGTAAATGTACGGGCATTTATTAATTCTGATAAAATTAAACAAATTAACTGGCTCATTTATGTGGTTATTAGCCAGTTCTTCAGCCAAAATTTCTATGCTATCTTTCGTCAAGGTAGATTAATCCTCCACATTTTAACGCTACATTAGCTGCTGAGACATGACGTCCACTTTTAACAAAATCGTGATTACTACTGATGCCCAAGATCAACACGCGATCGTGTGTGGCGAAGTAACGCCGTTAGTATACCGAATTGACAAGCGAGTGCGATACATCTGCGGAACTATGCGAATGGAACTGAGTTGTCATCTTTTAAGAAACGAAACTCGTGATATTCTTATAACATCAGAAGTGGGGATGAGTAGCAATCCTGAATGCAAAACATGTATCTGTGTAACGACTATCTTCGTGATTGACTGCGAAACCGTAATGTACGCAGCTATTTCATCGCGTTAATAATAGAGCGAGACAAAGCAACATTTCCATACAGCTGAAAACATTTCGCAAATGTTTGGCATTCGCATGCTATTGCGTCGGTGTACTAACGGTGTAACTGGTCAGATCTGTGACGCGTCTGCCGGGCGCATTGGGGCTTGTGTGTGAAAACGCAGGACCGATCGTCGTGGAGATTAATGGGGAAGGCCTATGCTCAGCAGTGGCAATCTAACACCAGGGCCCAGTGTGGATTGGTAGGTGTTAACACTCCAGATGCGGCCGGGAGGGTTCCGTCTACAGATAATATATTTGTAATTACTGAGGCGCATACTGAACGCACTAATTACCGTGATGTCGAATCTGCTGTCTTCAATTTTGTACAATACTATATTTGCTCATATAGGTATACTTTGTCGTAAAAGACAGTGATATAACTAATAGATTTTTATGAACTGAATGAGTTTTTAGTGAAACTAAAAATCTGATGGTTAATAGAATAGAATAGTAAAAACTGCAAATTAATTTTCACATTTAAATTGTTATATTCAATAATTATTCTGATTATGTTTTTGTACATAATAATATCTAGCAAATCATCACGTTGCTCATAAACAATTGAATCCTTAATATTATATAAAGCTTTATTAATACTACAATCTTATTTATTTTAAATATCACGTGTATAAATTATTATCAGAAAGAATTAGAAGCCCAGAAGAAATACACTGACATCGCTAACTTCAAGTCTGAATTCGCAATAGTGTATGAAAGGAAACAGACAGAGAGGAAACGGGACAAGTATAAACGACTCCTGTCTTTCGAGAATTTGGCATTGTACCCGGACTATCAGAGGAGATTGCTAGTACTGAGAGAACTTAACTATATCGATGAACATGACAGTGTTATATTGAAAGGTATGTATAATGCGCGGAATGTAATTTGAACTAAAATGGGGATTTCCCGCGTAAGTTTCGGGGGCTAAATGTGTAATTTGAAAATTTATTGCAATCTCTTTCAATTTAATATATAATAAGCACATCTGTTACGAAATGAATACTAATAAATAGACTCCGAAACGTCATGAAATATTTGATAAACGCGCTGAAATCGTTTAAAATAGTTTCATTTAATAGTTAATAGTTAGCGCGCGTGAAAATGTAAGAAATCCGTAACTAAGAGATAAGAACGTCACAAAAGTCGCTGTATGTATCCTAGACTTATATAATCTGAATACTTGTTCGCCATATTGGTTCCTAATATTAGAGATAATATAAAATCTAATCAACACGTTATCCAATTCGTAGGTCGCGTAGCATGTGGCATGGGAACGAACGAGCTAATAATATCGGAACTAGTGTTTCGTAACGTCTTCACGGACAAGAGTCCCGCTGAAATTGCAGCTCTACTCAGTTGCTTCGTGTTCCAAGCACGCACGCAAGTGGAGCCCCAACTAACTGACAAGCTGACCGAGGGAGTGAAGGCAATCGTGCAAATCGACGACGAACTAACTAAAATCGAGGCTAAATACATGGTAAGCCAAGCTTTGGATTGGAGTTTCATAGCCAAATTATTTACAAAACCAAACATTTACATGAAGCCATTAATATAAAACAAACCTAGTTTTATGTGTATAGTTTATTAATAAAGAATTAAATACATATTTCACTATAAATTCGATCGCAAGTAGAAAAATGTTTATTAATATCATGAACCCTCAGCTTTGCGGTATCCTAAGTCTGAGGAGCACACTTTGAAAAACGTTACTATATGATTGAATCCGTAGCCAACTAGTCCAGAGTTGATGTTGTTGACGTGTTATTTTATGATTTTCATTTCCCACAAGTTTAACACCAATGTCTAATTTATATGACTCCGAGAATCACATATTAAAATCAAAGAATATATTGTAATTATTTAATTGCCCATAGAGTTAATGTAAGAAATCTATAATTTTCAAAACTCAGAGTCTGCGAGTTTGGGGTGCCCCAACTTTTTCAAATATCCATTTTCCAAGTATGTCAGTTACCTATCTAGTGATTACAATTAATGTACGTGTTGTTGTTGTAACTACATTATATAATTGTTTTTATTGTATGTCATTATACAAAGAATTTTTATGCATATTTATTCATGATATTGTTCACATTTTGTAGGTAAATCAATTTGAAGGGCAACCGGAAAGATTAAATTTCGGTCTCGTGAGGGTAGTATACGAATGGGCTCTTGAGAAGCCTTTTGCAGAGATCATGGACCTTACCGATGTCCAGGAAGGAATTATCGTAAGGTGTATACAACAGTTGCATGAGGTAAAAACTTATTTAGATTATAATAATATAGTTCATTTTAAGTAATGAGTTTTCATAAAAACTAAAATTTACAATGAAATAAACGATTATTCTGATTTCAGTCATAAAATCACATGATTGTCTTAATATTAAAATTCTGGATATATCTGTGTATAACCATGACTTGAAACACTACCCGCTATGGTGTCAAGTTATGCCAGCAACATCTGTCGGATTAGTCTTAACTTTTTAAGCTTATTTATTATAAATCAAATAAGGAGATGACGCTATTCTTACCTAATTTTGTAGTCAGATCGTTAGATGGCACTGTTTTGTCTAATTAACATTATTAATCTATTAAATTGGTTAAAGGTCGTAATTGAATGCAGAGATCAAAGATGACCAAAACACATTTATGTTTTTAAGAATTCATTGTGATTGTGGTTGTACAGTCACTTGCACAAAGGTCCATTAAGGTTTAATGCGCCTTTAAGCTGTAATAAATGTCAAATTTGTATGGGTAATGTCGTTTTAAACTAATGACAATTTTAATGAAGTTTGTGCAACAGGCTGGTAGTTAGGTATTTTGTTCATTTTGATTTTTGTATAAAGTCCATCTGCAAAGTATAAATTTTACTAAATTGATATTTCTTCCTTTTCATAGCTTCTAATCGACGTGAAAGATGCAGCAGTAGCAGTCGGTGATCCGAAGTTACAAGCAAAGATGATGGAAGCATCCACAGCTATAAAAAGAGACATTGTGTTCGCAGCTAGTTTATACACTACACAGAAAGAATCTATCACTGTTTGATATTATTATTTACGTAAATTTTATCAAATAATATCTTTTAAAACAGTTTTAAGTCATATTAGTGTTATTTGTTAACTTATTCTCAATACCATGAAGTACCGTGCCTAGATGTGTCGTTATTCTAAAATAAACCTTATCTCTAAGAATTGTAGTTTGTAATACGAAATTTTATACCATTAATAATGAAATAAATGCTTTATTGTATGTATTATTATAGACTGAAACATGTGCATGAAATTATACGAGTTATAATACTAAAATGAAATGTTTCTTTTTAAATATCGACTTTATCTTTGCAGTTTTTAGTATTTACTGCAGCATCTTTGGAAGAATTTCATTATGGTGTATTTACACTGGTCGATTATATTATGCGGGGCACGGGCCACGGGCGATTTATGTTCCTTGCTTTTATTGCTCGCTTATTGTTTAATTTTGCTAATGAGATGAGCGGACAGCGGTCGCCCGCAATCCACGGGCATACCCGATCGACCAGTTTAAAAGAGTAGTAAAACGAAAATATTTTAACTAGTCTAGACAGTTCAATGCCAACCAACGGTTACGAAACGTGCTTATGAAAGATCTGAAGAAATATAATATAAGACTCTTTGATTGTCTACATTTTTAAGATAACTTTTAATGAATAGATCAAAATTAAACTGTTCCGGCATGTAAGTATTAAACCTTCTTGGTACCTTATATTTTTATGAAGCAGTTAGCTAACTGTATCTGTTTTTTGCAAATAAATATTCCCTCTGAATTTCCTCGTAGAATACAAATATAATTAGTAATTCGTTAGATAAAAAATAGACGCGTTGATAGACCTCTCAGTACCCTATGGCGGGGTCAGAGGCAGAACGGTAGTTTCTTATATTGACCAGGGGTGTGAGCGCTATAGCTCGCTACGATAGGATCATAGAATCCAAGAATAATATTTATAAATACTTTACAAAGAGAATACGACAATTATGACATTATTTCATTTTATTTTACTACTTTGACATGTTTTCGGTGGATAAATCTAGGACAGTACGAAATGTCGTTACACATTCTAAAGGTGCTTTCTAGTAGATTAAGCATTAGCAAAAAACTTATTCTTAATAACTTGCTCTCCATAACACACAGAGACAGTTACTTTAGATTTTTTGTTATTAATATGAAGAGTAATTTTTATGCATGGAACGGATCATGTGCGCCTTTTGTTTGACATTAGTAGTCATCGTAAAGGCTAAACGTCAAATTTTCGTGAAACGGAACGTACAACTCGTCTACCTCCTCCTCGGAATTTTCATAAAATATTCGATGACTTGTGCAAATTCAATCTTGATGTGTTGTTAATGACGGAACAATAGTTACAAGTGCAAGTGCTTACGGCAAACAAATTTTGCATCTGTGCTCATGTGGGCGTTAGTGATAAAGGATATTGGTTAAATACTGTACATTTGTTTTTCTACGTGTAAAAAAAAGTGAAAAATCAGTAACAATGATTCAGGACGACGAATATGAGCTCTTAGTAACAACCCCAGAGCGAATAGAGGCTCTGGGATTTAAACCTCAGAAGGAGATTCTTACTAACCACGTCTTACCATATGCCGATGAGCTGGATGCTGAGTCTACCAGTTTCTTGGAACAGGTTAAAACCAACCTAGCAAAGGCTGTGATGCTGCGTGAGATGAAACCTGCATGTGGAGTATGGTCATCTAGACTAATGAAGTAATAATATTTAATTAATTCTTAAATTACCTTCAATATAAAAATAATAATTTGAAACTCATTTTTGAAAATATATCTGAAAAGGATTCTATTGATGCTAGTTTCCTAGAATATATACTTATAGTTTTTCATTTCTAATCTCTTAAACTACACAAATCTTGTTATGGAAACGTAAAATAACTCCCCAAACAGTTGTCTAATTGGAATATTAAAAATAATAATACCATATTACTGATGCCCAATTATTGATTTTTTATTGGACAAACAAAGTAATTAATTCTTCCTGATATTTAACCACAAATATTGTTTATTGTAGGTATTCCAAAGTTGTAGTTATTAATATAAAAAAAAAATAAAACTATAGGATTCTCATACTAGCTTCAGTAATAAAATTAAAAAATAAAAAAACAGTTTACCACATTTAAATTTAATGTCTGGTATAGGAAGGGCATAACAGCCACAAGGATAAACAAAGATGGAGAGTGACTTTCACTTATACTCTGTATTGCTTTAATTAAACTTATTGCTATATTAATTGTTAAACTTAATATTTATTGTTATTGAAAAATGCTTAAAAAATCCACTTTGTCCCTTGTACTCTGGGATGGACAAAGTGGATTTTTAAGCATTTTTCAATATAGCATTATGAATGCCAAATTGATCAAATATAATACTTAATATTTAATTTAAAACTTTTATATTTCTCAAAAACTTATGCAACTATTATTTGACTTATTAAAACTAAAAAAACTTATTATTTGACAACGATACAACAATGTATAAGGACATTAAAAATATATTATAATGTTACTGTTTAACTCATTATAGGAAATGTGTAATAGTCTGTACATCAAGTGTTCACTTAGGTATTAATCATTAAAACAATGACCTTAAGTTTAATATAGGTACCTATTTGATATCAACAAAATAAAGATAATTTCAAAGACAAAACCAACTAACACCCTTAATTTAAAGTTAATATATAATACAATCAAATATTTACTCACATACATTTATAATTAACCATATTTGTATAATAGTGATATATCCTAGTTCAAAAATAAAGTTTCTAACTGTTTCTGTATCATGTTATAACCTTTGGCAATCTTTTCAGTGTCTCAAATTATCTGGCCCTAACCCAGAACTTCCTGATAATGGCACATGGTCTTTATGTTGTAGTTAATGTCATTTAAATTGCATCTTAACTCTCATATATTTATGATTTCTTATCATCTGTATATTCTTGTACACAGTAGTTCCATTGTTTGTGAACTGTAGTTCAGAGATATATTTTAGCATTATCAAGACATTGTTGAGTAATGGCTTGAGTTACTTTTTATTTAAACATTTTTCCTGAAAATATTGAACTGTTTATGAATTTTGTAACTATTGACCCAAAACAGATGTGTGATCAAATTAATTTCAAACATTTTATTTTTATCCAACATAAAAAAAGAGGTGTATGTATGTATGTAATTTCGTTGGAATGTTGTAATATTCATATATGATGTTATTTATGGGCTTCTAAACATGTGTGTAAAATTTTATAGATATATTTATATTTTGAAGAACTGAGGTTGGTGCCAGATATTTTTAAGATAAATGTCATGTATGGTAAAAGAAAAAATTCTGATAGGCCTTTTTTACTTCTTACTAATGGACACAGCTGGCACTGATCTTGAAAAGAATTGTTGGTGTATCCACTTTTTGTATATTTTATTTTATTATGATTTTTTAAACTAAAGTTTGTTTATATATTTTTTTAATTTGGAATAAAAGTTTGAAGTTAGGAAATAGGCTTAATCAATCATACCTCCTCTTATCTTCAAATATTAAATATAGAAACTTTTAAATTCTTGTATTATTCAAATCTAAAACTGTAGAGGTACCACAACACCCAGACAATGTGCAAGCCCACTTGTGCCCTTCGGACTTCATTAATTTTACCTACATTGTTTACAGGTATATAAGAATATATGGACTAAAATTTGGAAAGGAAGATCATATAGCATTGATAAAGTTGGCATATGAACTTGTACTCATACCTGATTTGGAACCATGTAAAATACACAAATTTGCTACTTTGTTTTTGATGCTCACAAAGTAAGTACTTCTATAAATATTTCAAAGAGTTGTATTATCTCATTTGAGTAAATATTATTTAATTAGTTTGAATTCACCTAATGCTTCACATTGTTTCATGGTTTACTTAGTTGCCATACATTTCATTTTCATTTTGTTTTATGATTTACTTAGTTGCCATACATACTTAGATACAGTAAAACACCAACTAAAATGGCTCATCAATGCTAGAATAGATAGCTAAATTTCAAAATGTGACAAGTCCTGGCCAATTATGATGATTTAAGTAGCATGTCACCTGGTGAACCTCGCGCCTGTCCAAATATGACTGAGAAAAAACCTACTAAATATTATTTTACACCTTATGATACATATCGTTTATCTATGTGCCTCTCCCGACTATCGAAGGTTGGCTATAAATTAAGCGAATTATTCTCGAACTTCAACAAGGCGAAACAGCTGAGCGGCGGTCTTTATCCTCGATCAATCTCTGAGTCACGAACCCATGATTTCTTCTTCCGGGTCACGTCTTTACCTCGCGACTTATCTCATCTTAATAAGTTTAATAGATTTTAGTTTATTTAAATAAATTTTCCAAATACTGAATATGTCAATCAATTAAAGTTTACTTGTCCAAATTATTATAGATCTATTATTTTTCAGGAAAAGACACCTTGTTTCACCGGAAGATCTTACGCTACCGTGGCGCCCTCTTTACGAGGTCGGCAAGGTTATTTTTGAAAGAAGTGCAACCCATGTTGGACTTTATCATTACCTTATGTAAGTTTTAGTAACATGTGTGACTTATTAAGACAACATTTACAACAACAAGCAAGATTGTGTGTTTGCCATGATGCTATCTCGTCACTGAGCCACTTAGTCATAAATAGCTTACATAGATTCCAGTAGAGCATTATTTGATGTCTACAAAGACTCATAAGAACGTTAAACCGAACTGAAAGAAAGCGGCGCCTAAACTTAAATGTTCCCGCTAAATTGGATATGGCAAAAACCTCAAATCCTGACTGCATGGACGATAACAATCTAATTTTGTCGTGATATCTTAGAATAATGAAAAAAAATTGTCTATGAAAATGGAAAATCCGCCGGTCCGCTATAGTTGGTAAGAGTCCGCAGACGTATACGTGCACGAGTATGCCCACCGGTTATATTGAACCATAATAACACAGTTTTGGTCAATATCACTGCTGTTAATGTAAATAAATACGTTACTATAATTACTGAGGAATGACGTGATAGTAATACATTATTTTTTACAGTATATCAATAATTATGATTTTATAAAATAAAATAAAAAATGCTTATAATAAGAATCGAAGCCTTTGTCGTCTCAGCAATAAAAATTTCCTATAGTCCGTATTAAAACAATTTATTCTGACATATTATTTATAAATTTGATAACTAGAAGCAGAGTGAAGATATTAATGGAAAAATATTGACAACATATGGCATATTTCTGTTTCTAAAAATAATGTAGTGTAATCATAACTCACCGTGTGTGTCCAGGCCAAAGCGTTGTGGCAAGCAAGGAGGCGATATGCTCGATATGATTCGAAAATTCCTGTCCGGTTATGGCCTCGATGACGCGTTACAGTTGTTCGGTATGGCCGAACGGAACGACGATTTGCCCACGTAATGTTAACGTTTCAACAAATGGGTTATGCTTACACATTCGGTGGAAGTTGGTTTGGCCTCATCTCTCATTTTACTTAATACTCTTCGGGATTTTTCGTTACACATTTCGCGAGCTGGTGTGGTGGTATGGTGCATGTCGTGCCGTTAGAAGTTTAATAAGGTAATATATGTTTTCTTACTTTCTAGGTCTCTGGAGTCATCATATATGTCTATGGTGAAATGCGCGAGACCGTAAGTATTTTCTTTCTATCATAATTCAATCTGATATTAAAAGATATTATTAGGGAAATATATAATCATTTTCCCTAATAATAGGTCTATTAATATTCTACATGTACAGAAAAAAAGTTTATTATATACATCTATTGTTATATTTTTAAGTCGATGTACATATAATTAATATGGAATTGAATTTCTTCATTTTTAGGTATTTTGAACTGAGCGCAACCAAAGAGATCCTCGATGAATTCTTGCCGCAGATAAACCCTTGGTCCTCTGAATCGATCCTAATATGCCAGTTAGTGGCATTCCTCCCAGTGGCTCTACCACATCAGCACGCTAACAAAGGTCACGAATTGTGGCTATCCAAACTCCTTGATTTGTGGGACACTTGCTACAATTCACAATGTGGGGTTTCGGTAAGTTAAGATCATGATATGGATGTTCAGTTTATAATGATAGTTTTCTATGGGATTGCTAACATGCACCTTGTTTTTACTGAGTTCTCGATATTTAGGCGCTGTTGCAAGCGCCATAATCACTGTTCACAGAGTAAGAGGGGATGTTTAGTATTTAAATGAAACTCATCCGGCTTAATTTGTTTAGATAGGTTAATGGTTTTATTTAGATTTAAAATTGCTCTTTCATATCTCATAAGTTCGTACATGATTTTCAATTAGACTTACTTATGTAATACATTTTAAACGTTATAAATATTCTTACAGGAACTTACTATATTATTTGCTGGACTGGCTAAGAGAAATCCAGGCGCCGTAAATTGGAGTCCGCATGTCGCGAAGATGTTTACTCGTTTCCTACACGCTTTGAACCTACCAGTTGGTTACAAGGACATGCAGATAAAGAGAAACCATACATTAGGTCGGTGGTGTCTTTTTTTAACTCTTCTCATTACAGGGTTCGGAGTGATAATTATCATTAATTCTTTTTATATTTTAGGACTTGTTATTAAAAGAGAATCAACTTTTAACAACTATAAAATATGGTTTACAATACAAAAACGAAAAAAAAATATGCACTCTCCTTACTATTATTATTTTTTATTTATTTATTTATATTTTCATATACAAACATTCATTCACATGTAAACAATTCGTGTATATTTTTGTATTTATAAATTTTTTCATTATGGTAAGAAGCATAGCATACTAAAATAGGAGATCCTATACTTAATCTTAACGTAAATATATACTAGGGGTTAAATGATACATACAGCGTCTTTGCGCTTATTGGTAAAATTTATATGATTAAATTTCATTTCAGACATGAAGCATGTGGCTTCCTGGATAGTATGGAGTATATGCCCCGACGGAGTGGTGTTGAAACATCTACGCAGTTTTCTCGCTGGAGTTGAGAGTTATCTGCACAATGCCAATTCGGGCCGCTGGTCTTACAAGCTAAGGGATTTGCTCAGGAAACTTGCCAGAGAATTCTTGAACAGGTAAACAGGTACTTTGAATATATCACCTTTTCCGGCTCTATCTATCGTGTAACTATACTAACATCTTGTGTTTTCAAACTTCGAAATGAAGCCCTCGATGGCACCATTGATCTTGTTACATTTCTTAATTATATCAGTGTCAAATCACGATGATATATATTACTCTCTTGAGTTTAAAAAGTTTCAATATTAGTTTACGATTATGGTAGTAAGCAAAGTTTACCTTTTCCAACTCGCTCTAATTAAAATCAAGTTTATAATGAACCATCTTTTTTTTCCTAGAGTGAGAAGAGAACGTGAAAATCATTTCAAACAAAGCTGGGAGAACCAAACACCAGACTCCTACAAACTAAGAGACGAAGACATCACTGAATTTGTAAAAATCGTTCTCGAACCGACGTTACAAGCGGTATACAGTCGCAGCGGCGCACTTGACATTTCCATCGCATTACAGAACTTAGCGACTCTCAGACCGGCTATTGTGGTCCCGCCCTTACTGGAAAAATTGAAAACATCTTTAACTTCACTAACTGAACCCCATAGAGTGACTGCAGCTATGTCTGCAGTGGCAGCCGTAGCAAGACCAATGCTACGTGGAGCCGATGCCGATTATCCCGAGGGTCCAACACACGTCGTTCCCTTCCTCTTAGCCGTCCTCCCAGGATTAGATCCAAACGACATCAAGAAAACTATAGTGACTCTGCATTTCATACTGATATTTACTTGGATGGTGCCATATATCGATTGTAGCTCAGCACACGAGCACTGGCCCGATTTGACCGAAGAGGAGCTTCTAACGTGCGAGTCTACCGCACAATTCGAGGATTTCGTTCTAGTATTCCTGGACAGGTTATTCGTTATCATCGAATCTAGCACTTTAGAACACGTGCGCCTCGATACGAAGGAATCCGATGCGCTGAGAAGTAAAACGGACGCGGTGATAGAGACTGCGATATCGTCAGCGGCGACCGCTGTGCTGATGCAGTGTTCGCCGAAAATATTCAAAGAGGCTTTGAGGAAGTTCAAGGCGTTCGCGACCGAATCGACATTCGAGACCAACGTTTCGGGCAGTATGGTCGGGGTGTTACTACGCGTTTTCGCCCGCATTGATTCCCAAAGTACTCTTGCCGCGTTTTTGCCTAAGCTTTGCGAGGATTTGAACGAGTCTTTGGCTACGGATGAAGCTCTTCACGAGGAGAATCCACCCAGAGACCTTTTGTACAGACTCGTCTTGATGATGCATGTGGTCGAATGCGACGGCGTCGAACTATTGAAGTATGTGCCGGACATACTGCCGATATTGGATAGAGCTTTGAAATTGCACGCGAACTACGCTTTATCGCGCGCCTGCGAAATCCTGAGTCACATGCTCACGTCGTTGTGTAGCGTGGATTTGAAGGAATGGCGCAGTTCGCCAAACGATTACGGAGCCGCTCCTGAGAAATGGTTGCCGATTCGCGAATGGGGCCGCGGTTGTCTATTGAAAGACGCGGACTTCAAATGGCACGTGCCGTGTGCGGAGGAAGCGGAATGTGCTCAGATGCTCGTAGACCGATATCTGAAGCCTGAAGTGTTGAGACTGCAGCAGTGGTTGAACGGTGAACGATCTATGTGCCGGGAGCGGAAATTACGCAGCTTCTACATAATGAACGCTGTGCTAGCGTGCAGCACTTTCCTACCGCAGCCCGATGAAGAGCCCGTTGCATTGTAAGTTCTCTGCATATTCTTTCAAAGATTTCGTAACTTAATAGGAACGCTGACCATATTTTGTAGTCTGTCCATCATATTGATTATCAAAGAATATTAACGATTTTTTTTAGCGTCATCAATTAATTACGATGATGCATTGAGCTGAAATGTCGCATGACGTATATATTTGTATATAGCTAGCCCCCACTCCGCAACTTTAAGTCCTATTATCTAAACCATTTGTTGTGGAATTGAAGAAATATGTATCTGATCATCAGACTGGTGGATTAAATAGAATTTATTATTTTTTTCCCAGGCATCATCTCTATTGAGTAGTGGCTTGTTATCTTTTTAATAAAATTGAAATTATCTATTTATAATAAGATAGACTTCATGAATAATAGTAATTTAGACTCTATTTGGTCAGCCATAAGGTTAAATATTATCTAAAATAATAATCCTGATGCAAACGTTTTACTTCAGAATGGAGTCACAAGTGCCGGCCACCAGTTTACCGTTCACCAATGGCGTCAAATACCAAGTGACACTCGACGGAGAGAATATGAGGACAGCACTCACTCGTTTGCTACTACTAGTACAAGAAAGAATGCTTACCGACAAAGCGGACGACACACGAGGTTTCGAAATGTTAATACAGGTACGTTAATTCTTAAATCCAGCGCATTAATTCTGCTAACGAGAACGTAATAGTCCTTACAGCGCATCTTACTTTTGGATGAAATTTTTGATGGGTTCGGTGCTTGGGCCAATTAATGAAAGGGTGACTAGCTTAAAAATGGATTTATTTATGATATAAAGTTTATCTTAAGAAACCCTTTTTGGGTTTCTTGATTAAAACTTGGATCGTCCAAGTTACAGATTACACTTCACTATGTTAAATAATTTCTATATGAATTTCTCATTAATCATTATTAACAATTATTTTAAAATTTTATATTAAAATCTATACGATTTAACACTATAATATGTTGATTTACATGTTTATCACAGATGATTTTATTGTGAACTGATATCCATAAAGAGTATATTTGATAAATCAAAATTTCAATTACGAAAGATGAATAATAAGAAGAAATGATGTTGACTATCAAGACAAGAAGTTTGCATGTTGAAACTTAGAAAAATAAATGGTGGTACGGCACACTGTTAAAAAATTATGCCAGAAGCCTGTGTTTTATTTACTTATTAGATTTCGTCTAATGAAGCATAATATGCTTCATTAGACGAAATCTATATCATGGTAAATCAATTTTAAACTCAAACTATATATTATAAACAGGTAATGAGGCAGTACTAAAAACAAAACGTCATTACATATAAGTCAGTCAGTTAGTTTCATAATTATTGAAACGCCTAAGGAGATATAAAAGATTTAAAGTACAAAAGTCCAATTTCATCTTATGTTCAAATTGAGTTATAAGATAAATTTAGAGTTATAAGTTAGTAAATTGTAAAGAAATTATGCCAAAATATTTTGATCACTTTGCACGCTTATATCAAATACAACTTTGGTTACATACGATCAACAATACAACTAGATAGAGCCTCGCATCCTAAAGTAATACTCAATACTGAACCAAACACTGTGACAATCAATGATCGTAATACCACAGACTATATTCTGTGATAATAGTCTAGGCGACAACTGAGCTTCGGAACTGGGTAAGCATCGAGTTGCGTTCTCAACTTTATTTTTCTTAGTAAAATATTCTTTTAATTAAATACGACGAAAATAAGGAACTGGGCAAAAAAAAATATTTTGTGTGGTTAAAAACTTCATAAAGTTTAAAGATTATTCGCTGAATATTTTTGCTAAATAATTTATTTTTAAATCGATCAACAAAAATATAATTTTCCAATATTTGTAGTCTGTGTTTGACCAAATACAAATGTTTCCAATATTTGTTCAAATGTTTGCCATATTGGCGCGTGGGTTGGCTCATAAACTAAACTCTATTATTTTATTAAAAATGCTTTGATTGTTAATTATAAACATTGTAAAATGACATTTACAACCCGAAAATATGATATTCCAACAGATATATTTTTATGCCGATAGTTATTTTGCAGTTTTCATACGCACTGTGTAGCATCATAACATGTCCGAACATTGGCGCCGTCGCAAATAAACTAAAACTAAATAAGAACTAGCGATGAGCGATTATTACTAAAAAAAATCGAATGAGTCGATTGTTCAGCTAAGTCGATTACAATTGATGTTATTCAATTGTTGTTAACAACGAAACCTTGCGGCGGCAGCGGGCGGCTATGATATGCTGCGGTTACCGCAATTACTTATTCGATTAATTTCTAGTGCAGTGTCATATTACTATACCCGTGTGTACTACTTATAGTGCGGTGCGGCGTGCACTGCGCTCGACTGCATTTATTGTGTGATTGGCGCTAATACGTTATTTAGTTGTCTGTTTAGTAGTCAACCCACTGATTTGAGGGCACATCCATTGGATCGTCGCAATGTAGTTGTTACTTAATTACACTATCGAGTGACGAATAATGTTGAAATACAAACAAACCTTGAAATGTACCATCGCTAACATACTACATTTTTTTTGTGTTCCGTACCGAAAGAGTAAAAACGGGACCCTATTAATGAGACTTCGCTGTCCGTCCGTCTGTCTGTCACCAGGCCTTATTTCATGTTTTTTTTTTATATTATGTTACTTATCTTTCTTGTTATAAATAACAATATAAATACCAACTAATTACTAATAAAATAAAGAATCAACGCAACACCATAATACTCCGCGCAGTTAACCGACCGCACGCGCATAACACAGAATAATCACATAGTGTGCGTACAGTTAGTAATTAGTAGTTAAGACGATTGTTATTCGAATAATCATGATAGGGAACTACTAAATCGACAATCGAATGCGCAGTAGCACAATTTTCTATTCAGTCGATTTTTTTTTTTTTGTAACTATCGCCCATTTCTTATAAGACCTCACTTAGAATTGAGGCGTTATTTCTTCGGCCATTTTTGAGATTGACTGGGCATCTAGTTGATGGAAGTTGGTGCTGTACTTCACATCTTTTTAATCACCCTGGGCGGTTCGATGATTATGACGCCGACTGTACTTTGAAAATTATGTACTAATCAATCGAATTTACTTTCCGAACTTTGAAAATTCTGTCCTTCCACTCGGACCAACTAAACTGACCAACTGGTTGTGCAGAATATAACTCGATGAAGGGTTTTATTCTAATATGACCAACTAGTTGATCGCATATAATATTTTGGGAAAAGATATTCCATTCCGATCAACTGAACTGACCACGGAACGGATCAACTACTTTTCTTTCTTAAGGAAACAACTTTTCAGTTGATTCAATCAGAATAATTTTTTAGTTTGTGTTTTTCCCACCTACACAACTTTCGTATAAAACTTCACTAATAAATTGTCCACTGGCCTTATAATGAAGTGCCTGCGTTAGTTTATTATTATAATGCTTAATTAAATAGTTGTTCCATTCTAGAAGTCTTTGTATCTAGTTTTAGTTGCGTAGATGAAATATTTTTAATTAATTAATATTCTTATCGGTTTAGCAAACATTTTTAACAAAAACGTGTGAAATAATACTTATCTTAAAAGCGGTGTAATTATTCGAGAAACGGTTCTTGAAGTCGGGCGGAAGTTTTCTGTTGGTTATTAAAATGATAATATTGAATATTTGGATTGAATAATGGATTTGGTGTTGAAAAAAAGACAATCAACACCTTCGTCTTATATGAACATGAAACCTGTAAAGTGTCCGAAACGTCATAATAGAAATACAAAGGGTGCTTGTGCACTACACTGAATTTTCAGGCCCGGCGGTCCGATTTTTTCCGGTCCGATATGTCAGGCCATATATAGGTAATGCTAGCCTGTGCACTGTCAGGAATTTTACCGTCCGGTATTTTACTTTTCTCTATTCCGACCGGTTTTTTCAGGTCGGTGATGGCGGTAATGAAAACGTGTTTACGCTTGTTGACTGATGTATCCGCGATCCGGAAAATTCATAAGGAATAGCCTTGGGAAAAAATAATAGATTTATGTATAATCGATATTTATTTCGGCGATATTGTTAATTTCCAATAAACTTGTAATCGATATTTATTGTAGATTATAAAATGCTATATTTTATATGATGATTTAATATAGTTGGTAAATATCACTGCATATGCTTTGGCAAACTCGGTATAGTTCTAATTTGATCAGCGTATGGTTCTAGTATCGATACTTAGCTAGATTTTAGAATCGTATAAAAAGTATCGATAACTTAAGGTAAGATAAAAAAGTGTTGTTACGCTTAGACGCCTAAACAACTGAACCCATCTTAATAGAAATTAATATAGTAAATAGACTTAATTTTAAAAAAGGACATAAGCTACATTTTATCGCGAAAAATAGGGGATGAAAGTTTGCCTGGAATTTTGTCATTATCAAAATTTTTTTAGACAATTGATAAGTATAGATAAATATTTGATAGCAAAAGTAATAATAAAGAATAAACAGAAGATTAACAGAAATAATTAAGTGACACTCAATGTCTTTTTAGCATTTAATAAAATTTGAAATGACTGTTTGTGTCATAAATAAATTTAAAAAAAAAGAAGTATTCTAAGGGAAAAATTGTTTCTGCTCAAAGAAACTACACCATGCTTATTAAATTATGCCATATTAATTCTCTGCTTACACGGCACTAATTTCGATTTAAAGTAAAAAGTCAGTTCTATTAAAAAAAATACAAAATGATATGATACTTATATTTTTCCTTTACGTAGGTATCACAACAAATATAATACATATTTCTAATTATATAAAATTGGTCATCAATTAGCAGTCAAATCAGTGAAATACATCATCGTCGAACATCGAACCTCCTACTTTTCGATATAAAAAGTTAATTAAAAAGTTGTACTGATGAGAAAGAAAAATAGTTGATCCGTTTGAAGTTGTGTGGATGGGAACAAATTTAAATTAATAAAATATTTCTATCGGATCTACCAAATACTTTATTCGTTGAGAAAGAAAAATCTATTTCAGTTGGTCAGTTTCGATTGTCAGTGAAAATTAATTTGAATTTCGATAATAAATAAATAATTCATCGTCTATTTTTAGTTCTTCGTGTTTCTTTAATGTGTTAATCTAAAGAAACGAATGAATTAGCCCTTTGCTATAAGTATATTACAATATAGAATAAATAAATGACATGTCCACCAGGTTTGGGAGCGCGTGGTAGTAATGAAAGGCATGAGATCGGGGCCCGGTTTGGAGGCACGTCTACGCTCATTCGGCGCCCTAGAGCGTGCTTTAGACGGGCGGGGCGGAGTCGCCGGCGACACTCATGGCGCCGCCAGACTTCGCATGTTATTAGCAGACGGAGCGCGGCTCCAAGACGAAGCCAGATTGGACCTAGTATGCGACGCTGGTATCACTCCGTCTGCTTTGAAAGCACTGAATGCACTCTACGAGCTGTCCATCAACACTTATAGCACGGTACGTTGAAACATATATATTTATAATAGTTAAAAAAATCATAGCTCCTTCTAACATTGAATTAACATGTGGGGCAAAAGTCCGGCTACCATTTTGATTGATTATAACTTTGCTCAAAGAAAAGTTAAATAACTTTGATTTTCATAAAAAAAAATGTGCCCTTTACATTTTTTTCGTTATGATTGAAAAATTATATCGGCTAAATGGTTACCGCGATTCGAGCTACTCTGTGCTTCGGAAGGCACGTTAAGCCGTTAGTCCCAGCTGCATTTGTAGTCGTTAATACCCTCCAATCCGCATTCGTCCAGCTTGGTGGGTTATGGCCCCTACTCCTTAACCGTCCATAAGTAAGGCCTGAGCCCCTGCTGTAAAAACACTGGTGATGATGATGTTACCATTATTATTTTAGTCACTTTTGCGACGTTTAATGCGCCTGTATCCATTGCAGTTATGAGAATGATTTGTCTAGCGATTTGTTTGATTGGACGCTAAAGATGGTTAAATACCCTTTTTAACACCTTTGCTCGTAAAGCTGATGTAATTCCACCTGTTTTAAATATGTAAAGCGGGTCATAAAAAACGCGTGTGTTACCAAAGCAAATAGTTAAGTTATAGTCCATACAATAGTACATTACCATATTAGTATTCCATAACAGTATTATTTGCCATTTCGCGAGCTGTTGCTATTCAAATTTCGAACTAATCGCCGCGCGGCGCCAGTCAGTAGGCAGCACTAGCGCGCTGTTAAAATGGCGGTAAAGCAACAGTGTACATTCACAGATTGAGTTTATTTAATGTTTTTTTTCTGTTTCCTCGCAAATGTGTTACAAACGTCGTACGATATACGTGCGCATTGGTTATAACATGCGAGGCAGAATTTTACCCCGAGCCGAATTACAAAATAGAGCACGGGTTCGATGGCCTAGTATTCATTTTGTTATGGTTATTGAGCCCAAAATATTGATAAAGTAACACTCCACAGGTCCGCATTCTGGCTCAAGTCCGTCTGTACTGGATGCTATGCCACTATCCTTACTCTTACCGAGCTCTGGTTCCGAAACTGACGGAACTACTCAAGAAAGGGGGCGAAGGAGATGAGTGGCACGCTCGTCATAAGGGGGCTTTATACATGATGTTGGGGCCCAGATCTGGTCCGCTTACAGCCAAACAAGATTGGGAGGTAGTAAGAACTCTATGGCCTGCGATGCTGAGGGCACCGTTAAGTGAAAAACCTAGTATTTTAAGGTAAGTTTACATTTTCTTTGCTTATTAAAGGATTTAAATATAAGAGGTAATAAAGACCCATGTTTGTATTTGAGGCAATCACTCTTAATAAATAAATCAATTCGTTGCAATTTTTATTATTTTATGTATAAAAATGTTGGTGGAGCTCGATGGCGCAGTGGTTAGCGCGCTCGGTGGACGATACGATTGTTAAGCAACTTTTACAATGGCCTGCCATAGGATGGGTGACCTAAAATTTATTATCTTGAGCTCCTCCGTGCTTCGGTAGGCACGTTTAGCCCTTGGTCCCTGGTGCATCTGTAATCGCAAATACCCAAAAATCCGCACTGGGCCCGCGTGGTGGGTCATGGTCCATTTTCGATTCCAACCATAGGAATGATCCCCAGTAGTGGGAACATTAATAGGCTAATGATGTGTGATGTGATTTGTTGGTATGGTGAAAACATCTGTCAACGTCCCTTTTATACTTTCGTAGATTGGAACAGGCGTTCAGTGAATCATTGCACAGACACTTCCCGACGGTGAACACACGTCTCACGTTACACCAGGCGGCTATAGATGCCGCATCTTATTTCATCAACGAGAAGCATCTCGCTGACCCGCGCTTTGCTCAGCAACTTGCCAATGCTACGGTATACGAAAAGACCAACTCTGATAGAACTGAAAAGCTATATAAAGAACTTATTGGAGAGTTGGTCGATATCGCTGAGACGCCAAATATGTAAGTTATTTAAAAATAATTCTCAATACCCAACATATATGTCATTTACAAAAATAATACAAATAAATATAAGTGCTTGAATATTTAGGTAAAACATTTTGTAAATAAAGTTGCAATAGAAGTTCTAGTATCAGAGTAATTTATTAATAAATCAAACAACTTTTTGTATATTACAAAATATAAGCAAAAAATGAATAGGACAGATATCTGGAAAAATAGTAATATTGTGTTTTGTGAAGTAGTAGCAAACAGCGTGTGACGTCACGCCCCTCTTACTCTAAGCGGATGCCACTTTTGAAGTGAATTCGAACACCTGAGTGAATTCGAATTCTGGCTCGGATTTTTAAAAAATCGCAGGGCAGAACTTAGAGAATTCAACCTTATGTATACATAGCATGATATTAGTTTCAGAGGGCTGTGACGTCATAGCGACGCCATGACAGTGACGTTTTCGCGAGAAATTTAGAAAATTAAATATTAAGATTTTAAGTAACAAGTTAAATTCAATGATATTTTTAAAATAATTTTTAGGAAAATGTCATCTTTAAAATAAAATATTCAAAAAAAATGTCTAAACCCCTATTGTCATATCTCGTTAAGTCACGAATATGCAAATATTAATTTGACTTTTAAGTGACTGTAAATAAAGTCGCATATTATTTTTTCAGACAATGGAGACGTTTAGAACTGGCGATGCAAATGCTCACATTCTGTCCTTCGGTTCAAACCCCGTACCCGGCTAGAGCTGTAAAGTTGATAGTGAAATCTCTACTCCACGATGATATTGCGGTGCGGCGTACAGCACAGCGGCTTACACATTACGTCCTGAAGCAAAGGAAGAGGCCCTTTAAGAAGATAAAAGTGGATCCGTACGATATAGCCGGCGTTCCTCGTCCAGAAAACCATGTACCAGGTTAATGCTACTAATATTATAAATGCGAAAGTTTGTGAAGATGAATGTTTGTATGTATGTATGTTTGTTACTCTTTCACGAAAAAACTACTGGACGGATTTGGTATACGGATACTTCTGGGCATGCATTAACATATAGGCTACTTTTTATCTCACTTAACAGTTCCCTAGAGACGCCGGCGAAGACGCCGAGGAAAGCCTTTACCTTTTAATATTAGTTTAGACTAACACTAATATTAAAAGATAAAGTTTTGTGTTTTGTTTTAGGCGGTAATCTTCGGAAATATTGATCTAAATCTTTTGTCTTATCGTGTTGATATAGTAATAAAGATTAAATAAATATATGCTACTAGCTGCTGTTTTCCCGCGACTTCGCACGCAAAAATTTTGGATTTTGTTAACCGTGTATGATGTAGCTCCCCGTACATGAAAGAATTTTTAACGTCCTCCAGTAGTTTTTGAGCCTATTTGATGCAAGCAAAGAAACATATTAACAATAAAATATGATATTTTTCTTTTATTTCAATTAGGGATTTTGAAGCATGAGCGTCTCATCGTAGCCTATAATGTGTATGAAAAGATTTGTGAAGCTCGTTCTCTTTTTAACTGTAAGTAGGTATTTTATAAAATTGATTTTGGCGCCCCCGTGACACTTGCTCACTCTAGATCCGGGCTTGAATTCAAGTCGTCATAAACTAGTGAAGAAACAAAGAAATTCCTGAATTTACCCTTTGTTGTTATTTTTGTCTTAGGCCTATTATATAAAAAATGTCGCTAGAAATACGATAAAAAACGTATTATAAACTTTTTTTGCAGGATACAGGCAAGATTTATTGTGGGCGATGTATTCTAACCAAGTGCCCGCTACTGATGAAGAATGGGATCGGCCTTGGTTGCGAAACTCTACTTACGGGTTCTATGCTTGGCCCGAGAAACTTGTGGTTAGTATTGACACAGATAATGTAATAATAACACATATCCCTTATATTATACATAAGAATTCTAGCAAAAAATCATCTATAATAAAAAAAAAAGTTTTATTTGGTCTATTCTTGCTTCAAAATAATCGTCATCTTTAACGTATCGATGTACACGTTGCTGAGCCATAGTTTCTCTTGTTAAAATCACACAGGTTTAACAGCCCATAATCCATCGTTACGTTAGACTTTGCATTTGCGAGCGTTAAGCCGAATTCACATTACGATACTAGTTAAATGAAATTAGTTTCATTACATTGATTTGACAAGCAATCTTATAAACGTCCAGGGCCTCGATTCCCATTTTTTACGTAATCGCATCTCAATAGAATCTAAATGACTTTCATTTTATTCTGAAGTCCAATATTGTTAATGTAGTATCTTCCTCTTCACCACAAATAAATGCTGACATTGCTCAAATTCCAGAATGAGTAGCTAAAGCCCTCGTATTATGTAATATCTGAGACAATGAAGTTATCACAACACCCAGACCCGAGACAATATAACAACATAGAAAAGTTCAATTTTCTACATTGACCCGGCCATAAATCGAACCCGGAACCTCTGAAGTGGCGACACCTTGAAATCGGCATGCCACCCACTCAGCTACGGAGGTCTTCAATATTTATTATTTTGTGATCTTATAACAAGAACCGTGTCATATAAGATTGGCTATTGACCTTCAATAATAATGCTAACATTTTCAGAATTTCTCTACACTTTCACAATGCATGCATTTGTTTCACGACACTAAAGTAGTTTCGTGTCATGTCCATAATTTTTATTAAACTAGTAAATAAAGCTTCGATGTTGTCGGAGTCTCAGAGGTATCGATGAAATACTATTGATTGTACGCCATTACTAGTTTCACATATGCTGAAATTAGTTTATTAAAACTTGTTTCATTATGCATGACATTAATTTCGTTATGTAAATTCGGCTTTAACTTGTTATTTAATAATAATAAATAATTTTCGAAATAGAACATTTATTTAATGCAACATATTAAAGTATATTTACAATATAAAGATAAAAATTGCTTAGGTAGCGGCGCCCATCAAAGAACAACTCCAGTCTTCAGACCTTCGTCCTGAAGAGATGGAGGAAGGCGAACGGTACTTGTACGAGTTCTTCAACGACCAAGCTAACGTAGACAAACTGGTAGCTTTCCTCACAGTCGAAGAGAAGAAGGGCAAAGATAAATTCAGTGGCATCCGCTTCTCTGTATTCAGGGTGAGTTAATATTTGCCCTTATTTAATTTCATTATGTGCAATAAAGAATTATTCTATTCTATGTTACAATTTTGAATTAACCTGCTTGACATTTTTTTTAATATTATAACTTTCGTTTATTTTAATGTAAAGTTTACAATACTATTTTTCTTTTCTTATCTAAACATCGAAATTGCTTGAATTTTTCGTTATTTAATAATCTATAAAAAAACATCTCTTGCATTTTTCTATAAAATCAATCCTTTTTGAAGTAGAGAGATCACTAAACACCGTAATATGTACACCATGTATCAAAATTTAAGCTCACTAGGGTTTTTTCCGCAGAATGAGGAAAAAACCACTAGTTTGACTGCACTGTAAATACCCATGTTAAATGTCTTAATTTTGATTTCTTGTGCTCATTGATCTTATCAAAATAGCATTCGATAAGCTTAATTGGATAAAGAATATTTACGATTTTTTATTTTGTTTCATTTCAAAATTGAAAGAGATATTTATAGATGTTTAAATGTATTTTTGTAGATGTTATTCGCTCAGTTCGGCGAGAACATAGCGTCGAAATATATAGAGCACGCGCTTCGTTGCGCGGCGGACACTCAGGAGGCGCCGCAACGTTTCGCGGCGGAAGTCGCAGCGGCCGCTATAAGGGCGCCTCGGTATTGGCCACGTCGTTCAGCACTAAATATGTACGAATTAGCGATGAAGATCGTCACTACTGGTAAATATTGTTAGCTTGATCAATAGGGTTATAGACAATTTTTCAAAAATGAAAGTATACATGTAAAAATACAAGATAAGACAAAATATTTTTGAATTTTTATTTTGAATTCAACGCTGAAACAGCTATACAAAAATGTCAGCCATATTATGACGTCAATCCTTTGTATACCTATTTTAACAGAACGTGACGATCGTGCGATTCAATGGGAATATTAATAAACAAGTTTATTGATTCTAAAATACAACTTCAAACCTTAAAGAGTTCAGAATTCAATTTCTTTATAATTGTAAATAATGACAATGCAAGATGTAGACTCACGATCTTAGACAAAATACTGGCAGTTGTTACATTGGTATGACGTCACGTGTTAGATTTTTTTATAATTTAGTATATATATAAATCAGAACTTAATTATTAAAAATTATTTATTCTGAAGTGACATATAAAAATGCATTCAATTTAATATAAGTTTCGTATTTTATTTGTTCACTGTCGACAACCCTATTACATATTATGCGTTGAAAACCAGTAAATAACGTCAGCTATTGATTCCTTTTGTTAAACTCGTTAGGGCTGACGACCGTCACACCAGAGACAATGGAAGACTGGGGCACCTGCCTGGCCACTGGTGTGGAGAAATTGGAACCAAATAGAGCCGCTACGTTATTAAACAGTCTTCTGGATTTGTGCGCGCCCACCGTAAACCCTGAAACGCATCCCGATAGAGACGTGTCGTTTATAGTGTGTGCAAGGCTTTACGCGTTACAGGTAACTAGACTAAATTTCCAAATGAAAGTATAGACCTTCAAAAACATCTTTAATATAGAAATTTGTTAAAGTATTTTTTTTTATTTTAAATAGCTATTGAAATTACTTTATTTGCAAGAGATATAATAATAAATATTAATTGTCAATTCTGTTTTATATGGTTTCCTTTTTCATCAAAGCTTAATTGGTTTGTTATACATATAAAAAAATAATGTATACATATCGTTACGGAAAACGATGAATCGTGAAATTCGTATTTCTGTTTTTTTATCTCTGAAAGAGAAAACGTCCTATATTTGTGCATATTGGTGCATTTACACAAGGTGCAATAGCTAAGACAATCCATGAAGGTAATCCTTCAGCTAATAATCAAGCCAGTTCAATGAAATAAATAAATATTAGACAACATCGCATCCGAAATGAGTAGCTAAAGCCGCAGTATTTTAGAGTATCTGAGACAACGAAGATACCATAACACCAAGACCCGAAACAATATAGGAAAGTCCATTTTCTACGTTGACCCGATCGGTAATAGAACCCAGGACTTCAGAGATAGCGTCAAATAGATCGGTTTCTAATTTTTACTAGACTGATATTTTTATTGTACTAATTGTGATATTTACATAAATTTATTTACTTTAAACTTACTCATACAATTTTAATTTAATAATTACATTCTATGAATAAGTTAACCATACTGTTAAAATAACACTAAATGTATGTTTGTCTCCACAAACCTCGACAAAATAATTTATTTTTTGATTTTGATTTTTATATTATATTGTATTGTATTTATATATTAAAGTGATATTGTTAAATACTATCTTTTTCAGGGAGCGCTAGGTTCATTGAATTGGCGAACAGCATCGCTAGCAGAAGAGCTGCTCAAACGATTAGAAGCTGCTAACTTTACCAATCACCCGTACCAAAACGTCCGAGAGACAGTCGGAAGGTATGATTTACCTCAGGGGCGTAGCTACAGCCGTATTAATGAATCTAACGGGCCCCCTGGGCCCGGCCCTAATGTATGTAAGCAAAAATTTTACGTGTCATTTAGTCCGGCAACTAATTTTCATACAGGGCACACGCTACGCCATTTATTTATCTAATATTAAACAACTTTAATACTGTGAACCTTATCACTTTGGAAAGCAGCGTTATGGCAATAATAAGACTTTCAAAACTGTAGGCATTCTTCTCTAGTTAATATTGTTCCTTTTAAATATATTATTGAATTGTGTTGGTACAAGTAATTTAGAACTTCTTTAGTATCAAAACAATGTACAATTGAATACTACAATACTAAAGTATATTGCTGGTAAACAGAACAAATTTGGAGATACAACAATCTTATACCGTCACGGACTGTAATTCTAGACTTTACTTTTTATAGTATGTTACATTCAATACAAAAAAAAACTGTAACACAAGTGAAACATTAACTAATATTAGCTAACATTCCATATCCGATTCTTTTAAATTATGATTGAATATTATTCCAGCATTCTAATGACTATCTTCGACACCGAGCTGGTGTTCCCGGGAGGGGAGAACAAATGGTCCCCAAGACTAGAAAACTTCCTCGACTCATTGCAACCGAGGCTCTCGGCACTTTACGACGCTCAAGGAAACATCGGTTCGTACTAGTAATATAAGTATAAAGTAAATTTTTCCAAAAGAATTTACCAGAATATTATGATCTAAAAATTCTAGGGAACGTCCCCGTACTAATATGTAAGAGGACGGGGACAATGATCAGCCTATTCGCTTCCCTATTATCTAGCTTTCCATATGGATGAAATAGAGAATGAGCCATGAGCCACAGCTCGGGTCCATTGCAGTTTGGGTAGGTCATTTGTCACCTTATTAGAGGAAGATGATTCGTCAGAAGACGTCAGTCGTCTAAAGTTAAAGGTCCATAACTAATATTATGAATCACGCCATTGTCAACCAACGCATGACATCGTGTACAAGAGATAATAACTTTCTATCGTTAGCTACGGTCAGATTGTATACGTAGTTTTTTCATATCGCTGAATTTAGTGAAAACTAAAGGAGAAATAGATTCCTGACACATATACTTAGAATGGTAAAGTAGTGGGGGGGGATGAGAAATAAGATGCATTAATGGTGAAACAAAATCCCGCAGTGGTTAAATCAGCGTCGATGTCTGGCGGACAATGCGGGGGCGAAGTCCCGTCGTGTCCGGAGCCCGAGGTGAGTCCTCCGCTGGAGCACGTGAGCGCAGTCGCCGTGGAAGTCGCCAGTCTAACATCGGAGTCACCTATCACTGAACATAACGTTCAGGTATCATAATAATATTACAAAATATATCTTGAGAAAGCGAGTAAACCAATATCACTAACACTAGCTAGTTGGTAGTTATAATAACAAATTATGATATACATTGGAAATGGTAACTTATATATAAACAATAAGTATTTAGTATTTTTGGTTTTAAAATAAATTGTAAATTTATTTTAGTTTTGCAAACTTAACTTGCGACTTATAATCGTGCGACGTCACATTTCAATTAAACGTTAACGTATTTCTTGTGAGTGTAACTAGTTGTGTTGTTTATTGAAATGTGACGTCACGGCTCGAAATCTCACGTAACTGATTATTTTCGGGTAATAATTTAAATAAATGAATAAAATTATATTTTTCTTTTTATAACAATTAGGAAAAACTTAATCTGGTAGCGATTTAATGTGATCATATGAAAAGCCTATGACGCCATCTTGCAACGGTCATAGACGGCCAACTCGAAGCAAACGGCTAGTATAATTTGCACTGTGTGCCAAAAAATCCCCTATTTGTATATACAGACAGCAGAGGTTGGCGGTGATATACAAAAATTAGTTCGTGGAGATCGTTTGGAGAAACAGCTGTCCTCACGTCTGGAGACGGCGTTACGACTCGGAGGCGATGTACCAGTGGCCGGACCTGAGGAACACGCAGCCGCCGTCAATCTACTCACTACAGGTGTCCCAGTCAAATTTATTTATTTTACATAATTTGATACCTTTCAGTTCCAATGAGAAGTATTTAAAAAAAAGGAAAGCACTAAAAAAGCACCACCACTAGATGGCGACTCTAGCAAAAGTAGATTTTTGCAGAAAACGAATGGACCAAAGATAGTCATTTCTGTTCCTTTTAAGTAACATATTAAAAAACTGAAATTTGTAAAGTTCGAAACTTAGATATCAATACTAATACGAAAAAGTACAAATAAAATATGAGTTGCTTATTGAGTTTTGAAAATTAATTTACTTTTATACATGAAAGAAAACCGGAAGGGTTGTCATAGAAAAAATAAAGAACGTACCGTAGCGACATCTAGTTTGATTTCGGGAACTTTTTTTTAAACTTCCTCATTCAATCTACTATGTTTAATAAAAATTAGATAGTGCCATATTAATCAGCGATCTCTATTCATCCATTCAGACTTAGAAGAACAAAATTTGGTATAAACTCGCCTATTTCCAGAATTTGTAATTTTATTATTTAAACACCAGTCATTTTGAATTGATGTATATGCAGACATCACTCGAGTATTTTTATTATTTATTCGTTATTAGTATTGTGATTTAATTTTTGAATTTCTTATTTTTTTATTATTGATATTGTTATTAAGTTAGTTATAATATTCAAATGTTATATAAGAATATAACATTTTAATGCAACAACACTTTATACCGAATAGACATAACGTAAATTTTTTCTTACTCAAAATAAGTATTAAACAAACAACTGTCAATCACAAATCACGAGATAGTAAAGCATTCGCCCAATTTAAGCTGTTATAACAACTCGTGTACACTAGTTTATACATTAACACGTTCATTTACACAGAAAATAGTTTGAAACCATTTATAATAATATTTTTTTCATCCAAACTAATAATTCTGACAACATCAAAAATCACAGACTAGATAACGTGTAAGTTTGATGAATGAAAGAATGATTTTAAATTGTGACATATTAAGTAGGTTTGAAATAAACTGTCCTTTTACATTTTGATATATTACGATTTATTAATTTTTTTCCACAGTGCTGTTGTTTCTTTTTGTTTTATGTGCAATATTAGTATTTTTATTTGCGATTAACTATTGTTGTTATTGACAACTATTCATTTTATTTTCATTAAAAGTTGTAATCATGAATGATAAAATATTTTTGTCTGTGTGTTTAACACGAATTGTTTATATTTTTTTCGTAATCAATAAATTACGGTGATACATTAATTTAAATTTCACATGACGTCACACTTTTGTACAAAGACATAGCGAGCTCCCACTGTTCAACTTAAACGCGTGTTATATAATCTTGTTATTTTCTATTATCTGACTGATGGACTAAAAAGAATATCTTTTTTTTTGACTGGGGTAGTCACCATCCCTATTGAGATTATTTATTTATTTATTCGTTTGCTATATTTAACTTGCTGACTAATACATGAATTAGGCTGTAAGGGGCCGTCCATTAATCACGTGATGTTTTTTCAGCATTTTTAGCCCCCCTCACACTTGGTGATACATGGTGATGTTAAAGGCTAATCCCCCCCCCCACCCAAATCACGTGTATTTTTAGTACCTATAAAAAAGTTTAGTACCTATAATTTGACGTCGCTTTTCGGTTTAGTAACCGCGCGTTTGAGGAAAAAATAAATACACGTGATATATTACTACGCCCCCTCCACCGTTGTGATATTTCGTGATTTTTACGAACCCCCTTTCGAGCCTCACGCGATTAATGGACGGCCCCTAAGTAAATCTAATGCGATCTTTGTACACGTGTAGTACTGCGCGGCTGCATGGGCGTGATAGTCCGCGGCGTGTACGGCACCGTGCGCACGCAGCACGCGCTGATCGGCGCCGCGTGCGGAGTGGCCGCGCGCGGGCCGCTGCAGCCCAACGACGAGATGCCGCGCGCCGCCGCCGGCTTCCTGGCGGGACTGGCGCTCGCTTACCACTCGCCCGCGGCGTTCGACCACGCCCTAGACAAACTGGAGGTGCACGTCACAGGTACCTACTACCGATAATAGTTATTTACGCGAGGGTTTCCATTGGCACGAATTCGAAAAACCTTTTACGCTCAAGTTTCTTGCAACATTTTTCAATGCTTTTTGCGAGGAAATTAAACAAATATATCCTATTAATATTATAAATGAGAAAGTTTCTTTGTTTGGATGTTTGTACGTCAATCACGCCGAAACTACTGAACGGATTTTGATGAAATTTGGTATAAAGATAGGGTGTTAGCTGACTTAGATAATAGGCTTAATTTTATCCCACTAAACATTTCCCTAGGGTCCACGCGGGCGAAGCCGATGGCGAAAGCTAGTAGGTTGATAAAACTAAGTATGTTTTAAAGGTAAAAATTATTTGTTAAAATTAAACGTAATATTTGAACATGTTTTCGTGTCATACATTTTTATTTGAAAATATTCGTTCTAGGCTCCTTGAAATACTTTTGCCTCTAAAGTTTGACATATTTTCATCAATTTCTTTTTAAATTTCTTTGGTGCTCGGCCAAAAAAAATTAAAAAAATACTTTTAAGCACGTGTGCAGTAAAGGATTTGGGCGCTTGTGCACTACACTGAATTTTCATGTCCGGCGGTCCGATTTTTTCAGGTCCGATATGTCAGGCCATATGTGGGTAATGCGCGCTTGTGCACTGTCAGGAATTTTACCGTCCGGAATTTTATTTTTCTCTATTCCGGACCGGTTTTTTCAGGTCCGTGATGGCGGCAATGAAAAACGTGTTTACGCTTGTGCACTGCTGTGTCCGAGATCCGGAAAATTCATAAGGAATAGGCTTGGGAAAAAATAATCAATTTGAATCGATATTTATTTCGGCAAGATTGTTAATTTCCAATAAACTTATAATCGATATTTATTGTTGATTATGAAATGCTATATTTTATATGATGATTTAATATAGTTGGTATATATCACTGCATATGCTTTGGCAAAGTCGGTATAGTTCTAATTTGATCAGCGTATGTTTCTAGTATCGATACTTAGCTAGATTTTAGAATCGTATTAAAAGTATCGCTAGCTTAAGGTAAGATAAATAAGTGTTGTTACGCTTAGACACCTCAACAACTGAACCCATCTAAATGGAAATTAATATAGTAAATAGACTTAACTTTAAGAAAGTACATAAGCTACATTTTATCGCGAAAAATAGGGGATGAAAGTTTGCTTGGAAATTTGTCATTATCAAATTTTTTTTAGACAATTGATAGGTATAGATAGATATTTGACAACAGAAGTAATAATAAAGAATAAACAGAAGATTAACAAAAGTAATTAAGTGACACTCAATGTCTTTTTCGCATTTAATAAAATTTTAAATGTATATTTGTGTTATTAATAAATTTAAAAAAAAGAAGTATTCTAAGGGAATAATATTTCTGCTCAAAGAAACTACACCACGTAAAACATAAAATTATGCCTATATATAATACAGTCAACTGATCTCGTAAAGTTCATTTAGCATATTAATTCTTCGCTTACACGGCACTAATTTCGATTTGTTTACGAAATGGCGCCACCGATTGGTCTATCTCTGTAATCGCAGAAAGTTGTTTTTACAAAACTTCGAAAAAAAATAGCACGTTTAAAAATTTAAACATCAAGTACAAGACCATTATCAGTAATTTTATTCTAATGTCACAGATATTTTTAGCTATTGTATGTGAATAATGCTGTTCCTAAATTAGTAAGGGTATAAGTTTTTACATCTGATAGTAGTCATCCGATAGTAGTAAAAAGAAATGCTTTCATCTTGCCATAATTTATTATGGTTTATGTTAAACGATCAGGTCATTATTTAGGTACCTTTCTACGTCTTCGAACGGAATTACCGACGGTCCAAAAATCTCATCGTACCTAGCGTAAGTGACGTGTAGCTTTAAAGAGAGCTGCCCTACACTGCGCCGCTCTGATCAGGAAAAAAACGGATAAGTGCACAAGCTACTCATCCGAGTTTTTCATGTCATTCCGGACCGGAAAAAATCGGACTGCCGGATCTAAAAATTCAGTGTAGTGCACAAGCGCCCTTTCAGTACATTTTTATTTAACACGTGTTTAAAGACTCACTTTCGGTGTTTACAATGGATTAAAAAAATAGCGCTTTATGAGCAACTGCATTGAAATATATATTCAAGGTTATTCGTTATATTCGAATTCACTCATTCGCATTTAGTGAATTTCTTCACTAAATGCGAATGAGTGAATTCGAATTCGGGTCTGGATTATTGCAGAATTGCAGGGCGGCAGTATATGGCGACAGTTGTGTTGGAAGACAATGGCTTGTGCTTTGCATCGTCGGAATGGTTACAACGGAATATTTATTCTTTGGCAGGACATTCTTGGTGGGCGCGGTTAGCGTGCGTAGAATTCGCGCAACCGCTACTATTCTATGGGCTCCCGTTACTATGCGAACAACCTGAACGAGCCGTGCGGGCTGAAATATTCGCCCTGAACCTAATGAGAGATCCACGACTTGAAGTGAGTTAATCAAACATTACTTTAGTGTAAACAAGTTAAATATCTCAAATTAATAATAGCATTAATGTCCCACTCCTGGGGCTCTGGTCTTCCCTATGAATATAATCAAATAGAGAGAATAGATCATGACCTACCGCACGGGTGCGAATTGGTGGGTGTCAACGACTGCTGATGCAATTTGGACTAACAAAGCACGAATGAGCTCAAAATGATACATCTTTGGTCACCCATTCTATAACCTGTCCTTTTGAAAGATGCTTAACAATACCGCTGACCGAGCGCGCTAAGTACTGCGCCACGAGCAACTCTAGCATCTTAAATGTAGTAATTATATGACGATTATTTGCCTATTTACTCAAAAAAAGACTAGAAATTTGATGAAAAATAGGAATACAATATATCTTATTACAATTTATTATCATAGGTACGCCAAGCCGCTGCTAAGTTATTGACCGGGTTAATGCACTGCCGAGCGTTAAAGGATGAGGAAACAACGCTCCGTGGGTTGATGAAGAGTTGTCGCTCTAAGCAGCTAGTAGAGAGGCATTGTGGCGTGTTAGGATTATGCGGGTACATGGCCTCGAGGCCTTACAGTCTAGGCCCTCGTCTGGGAGATGTACTCGCTGAGTTATCGCGGCACACCAGCGCTCCAGATCCAATACCAGAAACAATCCGCATGGCGCTCGCCGATTTCCGTCGAACACATCAAGATGATTGGCCTAAACATCGTGACCAACTAACCGAAGAAGAACTCGACCTTTTGGCAGACCTCACCTCCCCTCCGTCGTATTGCGCGTAAATAGTCTTATGTCCTTTGGTGCATTGGCGCAAACGTATACGAGACTGGTTTATCTATTAAGTTAGATAGAAAATAACCGTCCGTCTGGACTCAAATTTCAAATTAATCGGTTTATTTTTATAACGTCATATTTTACTTGTTATATTTATAGTTGAAATTCTATTAGGATTTTGGGATTTTGATGTGTTCTGATTGAGAATTACATTTTTTGTTTTGCTACATTTTCAGTTTTAGATGCTAATTGTAATTGCTCTATTTGGACAGCAGGCGTTTTTAATTAAATAAAAAAAAATAGTATAATACCAGATAGAATTAAAAACTCGATGAAAAAAATAGCACAATAAAAAAAAAACAAAAACTGATGCTGTTAACTTATTCTTTCTGTTCTAAGAAAATCTGACTTTTTTTAAATATAATATACATAGGACGATGATGTACAATGTAGATCTATTTAGTGTGGGACTCTAATATCTAGTGTGGAGATGCTACTCGACTCTTTCTTATTATATGATATACTAGGTCACGTCATTGGTACATCCAATCTTACTACTTAATCGAATACCCTTCTATTCTTAATGATTGCATGTAAACCGAACTTTATTTTCATCTTACAAAGCTTCTCACGTTTCACATTTTGACTCCCATAAGCAGGTGTAGGATTTTTACGGGTTTTTATATCATCACACTTGCTAAGGGTAATTTCTAGTAATTATAAGAAATATAACTAACATAATGGATCATGGTGGAATCAAATTTTGATTTTGTATACTAACACATACTGTACCAAAAGAATTTAATAAAATTATCCCGTATACTAATAAAATGTAATCTTTATATAAACTACTTCAAAATATTATTTTTCATGAAACTTATTTTGATTTCGATATGTACCTGTGCAATTTTAGATTGTTTCCTTATTTTTATTTCACATCATTCTAGTTTAGGATCATGTTTCCAGGTCTGTCCACAGACTAGATTCTTACATGTATATATTGTTTAAATATTGTCATTGTTTTAAATAAATGTATAAATAATAATTACCGTGCTTTCATTTTTACTTTAAACAAACAATTTACAACACACAATTTTCTTACTTAATTGTAGTTTTAAAATGGCTATATCACTTTGATAAGGGTTCAACCTTGATTATAATATAATGCGAGATTATTTGCAAACAGTGGTGTTGCCTTATGCCGTTCGAGACCCGTGGAAAATTCAACGGATGTACACATCCCCCAATATAAAGAAGCTCTTAACTAAATGTGTAATAATGAATGTCGAACCCTTTCAACTGCGGTCCCGTAGCATTTTGTCGACCACCCTGTAGTAACACAGTTGGCAAATAAAGCGTAATATTTTTTTTTTGTTTAAATGGAAATTTGGTACAAATAGGCAAGATTATGACGTAAAGAATTTATCGCAATACAAGTCACATTCGAAACAAGATGAGCTGTTTTTTTAATAAAAAAGTTATTTTTCAATTAGAAAATTTTAAAAATAATAATATATACATAGTGACATGTATGTATATATAAAAAGGCTTATTGGTTTATTCTGGAAATAATTATGTTTAACAAAACTTACCAATCTAAATAAATTTAGCTGTTTTAGTCACGACTGCACTTTGTATTAAAAGACCAAATATCCCAGTAGTTAATACAATGGTAAAAATATAGTATTCATAGGTCATGTTAATAGCTAATATGCAGCAATCAGATTTGTAACATTGTTTATATTGTAATTTTACTGAATATAGTAAGACTAATTTTGTCTTGCATAAATATCATTCACAGTTTCATGGAACTACTGGGACAAAAAAATTCAAGTACCATAATGGAACTACAGGGATCAGGCAAAATTAAGGCATTATTTCTGCATGCTATATACTCATATTGCCTAGCCTATCTATGGATACGCCTATAAGGATGGTAATGTATCATTACTGTACACATTAAAGTTGTCAGTAATAGATTAAATGCCACTTGAATAATTTATTAACACATTTTCATGAGAATAACCAGTTACAATAATTACCCTTTAATTAAATACATATAAGAAATGATGAAACTAATTGTATTATTTCTGTTGGTTATCTTCGATCTTCAACATCTGGAAACAAATATAAATTTATAGTAAACCCAATAATATGTAATAAAGGCATAGGTACACAGCATCACATCAGGTTATCACAGTACATATAACATTACTCAAAATAAATTATAGTTTCAGAATATCTGATGTACTTTTGACAATAAAGGAAATTATGAACCTCTCAGACAGTTACTTCTTTTTGTATTTTCTACCAAATCATTATATATTTGTGAATGCACCTACACTTTCTCTCATACTCTTATGCAAGACTTTCTTGAAGTTTGATTTAGTTTCAATGATAAATAAATGTTAATGTTGTAAATCCACACCAAATCAAAATCAGCTATAGAAGACTGCTCACTACATCTGTTGTATTGTATATAAGTTAGTAAATGGTTGTATTTTAAATATAAATTGCAAAATTTCAAATTTAAGTTGTTATATATTCCAAATTGCCTTTAAAATTTCCTTTTTCCCTTTGGAATTTCTCAGGGTTCTACTTAATGAATTATAACTCATTTTTTACTAGAATATAGTTATTATTATATTTGTTTTTATTATTTGATTACCTTTCAAGAACAATTTAAATAATATCCCAAAGTCAAATACATTTCTATTTATTACTACACAAAGGTATCCCTTCCAATAGTTGACTAATTTTGTTTTTTTTGACCTCCAAGTAATATACCTGGAGGTAAGAATATTTTTTTACCCAGTCATCATCCTTATTACAAATATGGATGGGAGTATACTCACTTTTACCATCACAGGCCACAATTTTCACTTTATCTACTTTGGCAACTTCTTGTACTTCTCTAAACTCAACATCATTCAACATAAATGTCCACACATTATCACAGAATCTGTAAATATTAAATTTGATTTAATAAAAAAAAACTATGTAAAAAATTGGCTAAATGCCAATAAAATAGTTTTATCACTGATGTCTTTCTTATGAACAAAAAAAAGCTATTAGCTGTCCACTTTGAATTTGCCACCTTTCTCACATCTCTTGACAGACGATTGTATCTCTAGCAAAACCATCTCATACATCTATCTGTACTGGTGGCTTTTATTGATTCTGCATGTCATATTTATTTATTGTTTATTTTGATAAATGTATAGCTATTTTGTTATTTAAGTAAAAAATATCAACTCGCAAGTATTTCTGAACTAATGGAAAGTTGAGCTGATTAAAAATACAATAATTTTCCTTTTTCAATGGTACCAGTTGATGTGCCTAAGTCATTTAGTGACAGTCTTCAATGGTAAACTTGAAGCAGACAGCTTATACATTTTAATTGGTATAGATATTTTGCTATCTTGCTTGTATAAGAACTGAAAAGTATCACATTAGGCATTCATACAAATATAGGAACGCTTATTTTAACCTGTAGGTATTAAGTTTGCCAGCCTTAAAAGTCAGCCTTGATTTAACTCTGTTTGATAATGCTTGGTTAATAGATTTATCAAACTGCAATAAAACTTTGACAGCTAGAGCTGGCGTGATTTGACCATACTGAAACAAAAAGGTTGACCATTTCAATAAATTCAATAATTCACTTAGGTCTACACACAGTAGTCTGTATTACGAATTACTATCAAAAATCTGATCAATTCTATTATTATACATTAATTTAAAAATCTATTAAGAAACTGCTTATTTCTGTTTGATGCTATTGAGAATATAATTTTTAGTAAACTCACATGAAGTTACTTACTTGTATCAATTCATCAAGGCTTTCTTGCAATGTATTACCGATGGTAGTGTTTCTATAAAGTTGGTAAGACATTCCTATGAGCGATAAGTACAAGGAAGATTGATAAAATATGTAACTAATGTACGTTCCAATGAGCTAAGTGAAAAATTATAAAGTAACACATAAACAGAAAGTTGCAAAGTAGAATCACAACACCTCTGCTTGGTTTAGTTTGTAGATTGTTAAGTGTTTTCGCTCTCGACATATAGCAAATTATGTACTCAAGAAAATAAGCTCACAAACTAATAACGTAAAATTATACACCGCTACACCGAGAAATTGTGCTTTTTGTTAGGTAGAGTGTTTTAATTTATCTCTTTTTTTTCACTTTAGCCTTTATTATCCAAAGAAAGAAAGAGCAAGAAAAACTACTACTGTCATATGTCATCGTCATAATATACATTTTATTTTGCTGTAAAAGAAAGGCGAAGCAAACATAGCCAATACAGCCATTGTTCGTTATAAAAAAAAAAACTTCGAAATATGATAAACGGGTTTTTCTTCAGTAATTCAACTTCCGGTTTAATACATCCCTCATTATTGTTGTTGAAAAATACCTTATGTAATATATTTTTAATTTTAAAATCCAAATATCGTAGCAGACTGATGTCAACGATTTAAAAAAATATATATTTCTGAATTTATTTTTGAAGAACAATAAAGATGTATCAAAAGCGGAAGTTCAATTTCGCAAGAAAAACCCACACACACGTTCGGTTAAGGTTGGATTTAACTGCTACCCGATAAACCAATATATTTTTGGAACTTAAGTAAATTCAAAAATCCTGTTTGTACACACCTTATGTAAATAAAATACGTTTAATCTTAAATGTATAAAAAAATCTGCCAATAATTGGCGGTGACTACTGCCTAGCACTGAGCCTGTTCCTATTTCGTGAAACGTAGGGTGTGAATCCTGTACGCGTAGTCCTGTACGTGTTTTGTTTACACTCAAATGTCACCTTTCTCCGGTGTGCTTATACAGCATCTCACCATCATCTCACTCTCGACCTGAGACACGATTCCTCGATCTTGTTCTATGCGCGTTGCTTTTCAAGAAAGACGTTCAGAAAGCATGTTTCTGATCTCTCAAGGAAAATGTCTTATTGCCAATTTAAATACATTGCGATTATATTGGGAATAACACTTTATTTTAAAATTAAGTACAAATTTCAATGTTGACGCTTTAGATGTGTGTTGTGTGCGATCAACACACACGATCACATCGTCATGAAAAGCTGCATCGCCCCCCACACCAAAAACGTATGGCTCGACCATACACCTTTTCCCATCCGTTATACATTAACAACGTGTCTTTATTAATTGTTAAAATACTTTGTTTTTCATTATATAAACACATTTATAATCATTAGATTATTTTATTCAAAACGTCTTATTCGTGCTATATCTACATTAAGTCGGATTTCAACATACAATCATAATAAAATATTACAAATTTCAAAGCAATAAATCAGAGTTACAAAATAATCTCACACGTGTTACGAATGTAATATCATATGTGAAGATGCCGTTAAAATTTAAACAACTGATATACGTTTACTCTTGGGATTTCGTTCGATTTTAGGTTGGCTTTTTCGATATCGATATATATCGGTTTTTCGATATGTTGACTTTTTCGATATTGATATATATCGGTTTTCGATATATCGTTCCCTACTCCTGAATTATCAGCTTTGTCATGGATATGATAACTCAGAATAATATCGAGTTCAAAATTAAATTAGTTTGAGTTACGCAAACGCAACTCGATTAATACGAACTAATCTTTGAATAATTTTCTTTTTTATTTAAATTTAAGGAAAACGGAAACTAACTTGATGGAAGTGAACATAGAGAAGGTTTTTTAAGTTATGGAAATTCTGAAATTATCAAAAGTAGCATTCAGCTCCGGTATACAATAATATTACCGTGAAATAGTTTTTATAAATAAAGTACTTATGCCATAGCAGGCATTTTTCATTATAATGTTTAACAAAAGTTCTTAAAACAATAACAACTAGTGACTATTATAGGCTCAGACCAAATAAAAAGTAAAGACGGAGTGCGCTGAACAACAAAGTGAAGCCGATTTTTAGCAATTGTAGTGTGCGTGCCAGTGTGACCATAGTCATTAAAAACACCCCAATAACTTAACGTTACGACGTTATAGAGTTAACGTTAATGCTATGCTATTTAATAATATAATGTAAATTCGTTTGTCAATATCAGGATATTGAAATAGAAAAGGTGTACCAAGAATAAAACAACCTAATATTAGCTTTGTGTATTTATAAATTTAAAACCATTTACAAGTAAAAAAAGCCAGGGCGGTTTATTTCTTCTACTTTATTTCATGCTTGTCAAGTCAAGTGTATATTAAGATATCCACAAAAGTTTATATTAATTCTCTAGTGTTATTCTACTTATTAAAAACCTTTATGCTGGATCAATTTCTTGTAAGATTGTCTTTTACTGTCTTTTGTTTTTATAATAGTTTCCAACTTAGCAATATGATGAAACCTTATGCTTAAATATTTTTCAATTACACAGCGTATTAAATGAATTTTATGTTCGTGACCAAAATATTCGTGCTTTTTCTCTAAATTAACAAAAACTGTATTTTGTCCTATAAAGCGTTTTAATATATTTATGACAATAGTTTTGTGTTGATTTTCTGCGGTAATAACAATTTTTTTAACTAATAATTTCCGAATAATCGATTCACAAAGGACACAAATATCAAAAAGATCTTTTGACGGGAAACGAAGGCCACCCTTGTTTTTCAAATCAATAAGCCTGTGAAAATAGAGTTTCTCATCAGTCTGTAAACTTTCTAAACATTCAGAACATTTTATTATTTTATTTAAATATCGTATCGTACTACCTGATATGTAACCGATTATTATTTTCCTATAATCGTAATAAGTATTATCATTTAAATGATTGGCTAAATCTACGGATTCATTGACAATGTCTCGAAGAAGTTGCAATGAAGACTTCTCATTGCATTCTTCTTCTTCATGTCTGTAAGACAACGAATGCTGTTTATAATTTGAGTCGTTGAAGTACAATTAAGAATTGCTATATTTTCTAAAGGCACGCAATTACCTTTCGAAAGACTCTTTAATTCTAAATGTGACAGTATCTTTTTGTAACTTCCTTTAAACTGTTTTACATTTGGATTATCATTAAAGCCTCCGTGCATTCTGATTGATGTAAATAATATTTCCAGATGATCTTGACTTAGTTTATAAGTCGGTAAGAAAATTAGCCTTTTTTCAGTCTCAATATATTTCGTGTATAGCACTTTTAGACTTTGTATATTCATTAATGTGCTTTTAAAGCCTGGTTTTCATTTTGCTTCAATAACTGGTTTATAAAAACGCGTGATTAGAAATATAGGTCGACCATCTCGTTTTACTTTCTTTTTGGTAACAGATTTTATTTTCAATTTTAAAATATATTTCTGTAAATCATCTAAAAAACTAAATATTTGACTTTTATTGGTCTCACAAAGTGGCTTTTTATAATCAAACTGCCACATTGTTCTTGAGTTAAAAATATCGAAACTCGTTTAGTAAAAATAAAGAAGTAAAAAATTAAACCCTTTTTTATTTTTAACTTCCTTATTCTAACACTCAATATCTGTGATCTGGATCTCTATGTAGCATTTTGAATGCAAAATTTATTAAATATAATTTCCATACAACAAGAAACAAATAAAGTACGCTTTGAAAAAATACGTAACATAATTTTTGTTTTGTTAGATATAACGCGTTATAAAATTAAAGTTACCTGATTTCGGGGTAAATAATAACGTTTAACGATGGTAATATTTGGCCGAGGTTTTGTGTTCCGAGCACTAATTTACATTTTATTTTTAAACTACTGAAACTCCAATACTTACGTGTGAAATGTGATTCCATCCTGCTTTTTATTTTTGTGGAATGGTTTTTACAACCTTTCACTACACAATTTGGCATTTACTAAGATATTTTTGATTTTTTTTATAACGAAACGTACCGGACGCTGTCGATAGTTAGACTGATAAGGAAGGCGTAGTTTCGTTATGTATGTGTGCGTGAAACTGTGTACGAATACGCCGAGGTGTAGTTTTGCCGGCTTCACTTTTCTGTTAGGCAAAACTCCGTCTATACTTTTTATTTGGTCTGAGATTATAGGTAAATTACAATAAAAAAGGGTAGATAGTTCATCTCAGTACTAATACGATGACACAGACCAAGAAGATGACAAAAATGAGGAAGTATTAAAAAAAATAAAGAAACTACAAAAAATTATGTCACTAGATGGCAGCACAAACTGTTGAATCTAAACATCAATTCATGACGTTAAACCAAAGAGAATAGAATTGTCAGTGTTGTTATGGATCTAATAACTCTGACTAATATCGGGTTGAAATTTAACTGGTTTGAGTTATGCAAACGCAACTCGATAAATACAAAGTAATCTTTGAATAAATTTATTTTTTATTTGTACAGAGGAAAATGGAAACTAATATAAAGTGAGCACAGAGTTTTTTTTTAAATTTATGGAAATCAATTGAATTAATGCTGTGATATAATTAAAAGTGGCATTTAGCTACGGTATACAATAATATTACCGCCAAATAGTTTTTATAAATAAAATACTTATGACATAGTAGGTCTAGGAATTTTTCATTATAATGTTTAACAAAAGTTCTGCAAACAATAACAACTATAAGTTAGTTTTATTGCTATTAGTTGTTTATTGAACTTACAAAAAAAAACTACATCAAGTCACAATGATATTTTTATATTATCTATGATGAATGAATGAAAAGCGATTATTAATCAGCAACAAAAGTCATAAAAACGATAATTATAATAAAAAATCCGTTTATTATCTATACGAGGGTCAAACTGAAAGTTCTTAGAAAATCAAAAACTGATTACATTAGCCAGTTATTAGTTTTATTATATCTTTTCAAAATATTGTCCATTCACGTCAATACACCGCTGCATGCGATGGAACCACTGGGAAAAGCACTTTGCCCACTCGTCCTTAGGGGTCTCTTCAATGGCATCGCGATACGCAGCCACCGCTTCTTCAGCATTCATAAACCACTTTCCTTTAAGTTTTTCTTTAATTTTTGGAAATAAATAAAAATCACAAGGCGCGAGGTCGGGGCTATACGGCGGGTGACCCAGTAATTCAACGTTTGATGTCGC